ATGATTGTGATGAATATTTTGATAATATATCGATAGCTGTACATACCTGGGATATATGCTCAAATAGTGTGCTGTTTGGGGAATGAAGCATGTGTACAAGTTAAAGAATATGTATTGAAAAGATTCTGAGCTTTTACGCTACTTGATAAACAAACAGATTCAATAATATTTGAGTTTTCTGCCTTCTTAGTTATTCTTCTTCGTCGTATGGCTATCGTGTGACCTGTCGAGAGACCTGGAGACCAAATCTATAACTTGTTGTGCACATTTCTGGTTTATATCATATAAATTTAGAAAACTTTCATTTTGTTTTTGTCAAATCAAAAACTTACTTCTTATTTAGAAAAGAGAAAACATCATAAAGTAAATAAAGTTAATTTCATATCATATACATTGAAAACAATTTTTTTATTGAGTTAGTTTTATGTGACATTTATCATACTTTGACATATTTGTTTCCTATTTTACTTTTAAAATGATTGTTCTGTGAGACTCATTATTGTCCAAATAGTAACATGAGCTAATCAATATTAATTATTATGAGATTGAATCTTCGTGATTTATATCCTATTACTTATCGTTTTATTTTTAATAAGAAAATGAAAAAGAAATATTTATACAAACTAATCCTATTTAAGGATATTTACAGCTGCTATTTGAAAAGAAAATATCCAATTAAATTCGATAAAAATTAAAACAGATCATTTGTTTTCTCTATCAATTATATCGATTATATTTATTAATGAAAAATAAGCAGTACAAGATCAAAACAAAATAACAAGAAAAGGAAAATACAATAATAAGGAAACAAAAATCTGACCAGTTAATTGTCCATGAGTTAAATGAATCACCTGTATTATTTTGTACATCAGAACAATATTTTAATACGACGCTTGACAGGTTCAAAATCTGATGAATTCGATACATTTTCGATTAAATTTATTAGATCATTATAATATTCATTGTTCTGTTTTAGATTAAGCCAAAATTTGTAAAATCCAGCAACTCTTTCTAGAAGAGGTAAATGTTTCAATAACTTGAATTCATTTGCAATTTTATAATCCTTCATATACATTACAACGTTTAATGCACATTGTAGATCAAAAGTTCTTTCGTAATTATAGTTAATATAATCTGTTGTGGCGGTTAATTCTTGTAAATAGGATTTCAAAAATTGTAGACCACCAAATGAAACAACACCTGCAATTTCTAATTCTATTGTATTTTCATTATCTTCAAGTGTTGTGGCAAAACCAAAATCGATCAATTTTAAATGATTACATGTTTTATTGACCATCAAGTTTTCTGGACGTATATCTCGATGAATGATACGACATTTATGTAAATATTCAATGATGCTAATAAGTTGTTCTGCCTGAGGTACTTTTATTGATTTTAAAGGTTTCAAAAAATTTTCAAATAATATAAATTTACCTAGAAAGAAAAACAAAAACTATTATGAATCAGAATAAATATTATTTGAATGATGCTAAAAAAAATATCGGACAAAAAACAAAATATTTCTTATTATTTTAATAAATAAGAGTTTAATTTAAATTAGATGACTTCTTTTGATTATTTAATGATTTAACACGATTCATAATTTAGACTAGAGTTTTTCTTTTGAAACTTCAAAATTGTTTTGTTTAATAACAATTAGAAAATTTTATCTTAGAATTATTTTCATTTTTAAAATAAAAAAGAAACATCTTTCAAGATATAATTAATAATAATCGAAGAGCATTCTAATAAACTTTTAATAATAAACGTTTTCTAATTTTCATTGATTTATTTTCGATTAATCTATAGATTTGAATTATTATAAATTTTCATTTAATATAAATTAAGAATTTTTCTATGTTAAACAATTGATTATTGTCATGATAGAATGATATTAAATATTAATTCTTATTGATTTAACTTTATATTTAAATTCATTTACTTAACATATAAACTAAATAAAACTAATCAATCAGCTATTATCTAACTTATTATTATTTTTCTTTTTCAACAGGTTTATATAAATATATATATATCGATTTTCTGAATTGATGCTTTTATTAGAATAAATCTGATAAATTTCATTTAATTCAAGTTTAATACATTAAACAAAACAATCTTTTATTTCAATCTAAATTTCTCCAAATGCTTAAAAAATATTCGAGAAAATCTTTGTTCATTAATTTATACTAGGATTTTTCTATTACTTATTGAAAATTTCTAATGAATTACTTGATCTACATTCATAAATAAAATTAAAATATTCTCTACTCTTAAAAAACAAAGAATCATTTCATTCATTTGAAGAATAAATAAATTCAACATGTTTTCTTCTTTTTAATCTAATTTAACCTTCAACAACTTATGCATATAAATACTATTATGAAGAAAAAAGATAAATTTTATTCATTAAATTAGAATTTCAATATGAGTCCTTTCATTTGGAATTTTATAGCTGTTTATATATAAATAACTCTAAACTTCTGTAGTTTCTTTTTTCTCTTAATTATTTGTGTTCATAAAAATCTTTAAAAAAAACTCGAATATTAGAAAATGTCGTTGTCAATTATTTTTAAAATTTAGATCGTTTTTTCTTCAAATTCATTTTCTACGGAACCAATAAAAAGAAAAAACATATTCCACGTTAGATTTTGTTCTTAAAAAAAATAATCTTTTGATTATTCATTTATTCTATATGTACTTGTTTTTCTTTTATTCTAACTCTCATTCAAATAAATTCTATTCAAATCTCTCTTTCATTGTAGTTCTCAAAATTCTTCCAAAAATCAATCGAAATGTTTTCTATTCTCTATTTTTAGTAGATTCTCAATTCATTGAATAAATTCTAAACACCAATCAATTTTTCAGCAGAAAAATGTTACCTTCAAGTGATGCTTCTTCGATATTTGAAAAAAATAATTTCAAGTTATTTGTATCATTCAAATTTTTTAATTCTAGGAATATATTAATTTCATTCATAAACATGTCGCAATAGTCTTCACTTTTGCAAATTTTCATTACACGAGATTGTCGATCACTAAGTGATTCATTATAGTTGTTATGAACCAATAGGTAAACCATTGAAGTAAGACCGCATCCTAATCTTGTTCTTATATAATATTGATCGCCAAATAAATTATCACCGGGATTTATGTTTAACATGTTATATTCATAAAAACCAGCATTCATGGTTAAAAATTTAATCAATATTTTCATTGTATCGTTATTAAGATGTCTTCGTCTTAATTGTTCGTTTGATATTTGTTTATTAACAGCTGATGACGAGGAGGAAGACGATGTTGATTTCGATGGCATATAAAACATTTCTAATTTATCACTTTGGTAAAAATTATAATTACAGGAAGACGAATTTCGTTCTTTTACAACATAGTAAAATCTTATATGTTGAAGATCCGTTATAAAGCCATAGATTTTTTGACGATTTTGTAGTTTTAATACATCAGTCAAATAACTGCACAATTGTCCGATGTGTTTGAATGCATCAATAGATTCATTTGATGACTTTACTTCACCAAGACAAACCACAAAATCTTGTAAAGATCCATATTCATCACGAATATTAATATTAATATTTTTATATGTAAAAGTACAATCAGGACTTGTATTTTGCATGAGATATTTATGATGAGTTGTATTCAGATATTTTAATGATGATAAATTTTTAAATTTATCATTTTTGTCAAATAATTTATGTATTGAATCCTCCAATACAACTTGCATATTGTTTTCTAATATAATTCTATCTAAAACCGATGAATAAAAACACTCTTCAAAAATGTTGATCATATCATCGTTAATATTATCGTTATCATTTAATAACGATTCAATATCGAATCGATATAAATCTTTTTTTACAATCGAATTGTAATAAGACGCATTATCTAATGCTGAAGAATGATTTTGACTAGAGGTTGACGTTTGTTGTTCGTCTTGTGACTTCAGTCGTTTTTGTGCGTCATTTTCTTCAACGTGTTCTCGTTTTTCTCTTTCAAGTTCCAATCGTTTTGTTTCTTCTTTTTGTCTTTCCAATTTGATCTCTTCTGTTTTATGTCTTGCTTCTTCTGCTTGATGATTTTGTACTGTGATAAATGCATCTATTTCTTTTTGTTGAAATTTTAATTCTTTTGCTTTACGATTTTGTTCTGCGATAAATGCATCTATTATTTTTTGTTGCAGTCGTGCTTCTTCTGTTTTATATTTTTCTTCTTGGAGTTGTATCAGTAGTGGTAATAAATCTTTTGGAATATTAAACTGTTGATTCATTAATCTTCTAATCGAGTAGTCGTGATTCGAAGTTTATCTATAACAAACGAAAAAGTTTCCTATGATAGAAATATCAAAATTATTATGAATATCGATAAGAACTCGATTTATATATTTTTTTAGAAATAAAAACATCATTGTGTAACATATACCTTCGATGCAGAAAATACGAAAGAGGGCGCCCGATGATGGTTATAATATATAATCAATATTTTTTTATAGAATAGATCTGAAATCGAAGCTGGAATATTATCATTTTAAAAATTCGTAGTATTATCTCGATTCTTTTTTTCGCAAAATACTCGAGATTTAATTGATTACATTATCCATCTATTTTATTATACTTGGAAAGTTTTTATTGGAGTATGATGTCAAGATGAAACGACAGATTAATTCCTAGATATTATCGAAATGAATACAAGAGAAGAAAGATTGTTTTTTCTATTTTAAACTTTGAGCGTGTCTTCAAATAGAACATATGTTTGCCTATTCGATTTTATAGTAACGAACAGAGAAAAACATTATACCTCAATTATATTAATCCAAAGTGGATTTAAAGTTAACTATCGGGTGGCCCGTGTTAAATGTTCCTATCAGTGGTTTTTGAATAACTTCATCATTTTTATTCTCTAGACCTTAGTTATTCAATTCTCTACAAGATCGAAATCAAAAATTTTCCTGTGGAAAAGATTATTCAACAGGTACAACAGCATCAACTTTCAAAGCTGGAAAATAGTTTTTGTAGANTGAGATACTTAGAGCGCGCATTAAAAGGGTCGGTGTGGAAACTCCTCAAATATGATCGGAAGATAGAGCTTGTTGAGTGCTGCAAAATACCTGCATTATTTAATTTTTATCGTCGCTGAGCAACGAAAAACTCTACAAAAACTATTTTCCAGCTTTGAGAGTTGATGCTGTTATACCTGTTGAATAATCTTTTCCACAGGAAAATTTTTGATTTCGATCTTGTAGAGAATTGAATAACTAAGGTCTAGAGAATAAAAATGATGAAGTTATTCAAAAAACACTGATAGGGACACTTTACCTGGGTCACCCGATACTATAATGACTATAACGCTCTCATCAGAGGCCAATGCAATATTCATTCACTTCCATTCGCCATTTGTTATATGAATAAATATTCTAGTAAATTTCATGAAGGTTTATTCTTAACGGTTCATAAACTATGTATGCAAACTCTACTCCATTCATTCGAGTATGATTTCTTGTTACTCGAATCTCCCAAACTTTTACAGTAAAAAATCGAAGGATAATAATTATGATCGGTATTCTAGGCTTTGTCATTTTTCTTTTACTACTCTTTTTGTTTTACATGCTAAATGAACTATTTAATTAAAAATCCGTTTCTATATAGTATAATGTATTATTCTATTACTCGATTATTATTGTCGTATATCTTGCTCTTTAGTCGCCACTTATTACGGAGATACATTGATCGACAAATCATGCTCTTGTAAGTCTGTAATATATCGAACATTATTGATAGTGGATGAATTTTTAGAAATATTGCTTGTAAACAATAGTAGCACGTCAATATTATCAAACAACCATAAGTTATGTAAAATGTGAGATGGCAGCAATGAATAAGAATCATAACCCTTTATAAAAATAAAAAGTCGTGGTGAGTCGGTATTGAAAGTGAATTCTGATGAATTTAAAATAAAAAGTTAATCTTAACGCTGAAAACTTTTATGGAATTATACTGAATTTCTATCGATATTCAACTGAATTATGGTCTGTGTTATGTCCATTATATCTAGATCTACATACGCCTATAGTGATATGGTTTAACATGATGTTCGTTGGGAAATAAAATATGTGTAATTTTATCTGTAAAACATCTATAAAACACTATAGACTACTGATCACTTTCACACGGATCATGCATATAATACATCATTATTCATGTGCACGCGAACTAATTGGTTGCCAGGCATATTGACGGGGAAAACTGGTGATAACTCAGTAATAGATATCGATCGCGATCAACCATAGGTAAATGAAAATAATAATATTTACTCGATTGAATGTCATGTTGTACAATAAGAAGAGAAAAATACATGAACTCATAAATCCAAGCAACCTGACAACTTGAATACGCTGTTATTTCAACGAATTATTCGATTAATACTCTTTTAAAAGTAGCGTTAATTCGGTTGCGATAAAGAATTTTTGATGATGTAACCGTCGGTGGTTACATTTGGGTGTTGATGTTTGAGACAGAGTGCAAAAAGGAAATGAAATTAGAAACAGTACTTTCAGTCATCACAACCGGGAAAATATTTCGAAGTTCCCTGAAAAATGAAATATATCTGACAGTATTTATTCTAGGAAACAGGTCTATATAAATTTATCAAGAGTTCTATAATAAAAGAATTTTGTTTTTGGTGGAACTCACATATATTTTCGAAGAAAATGTTCAGTGTAAGTTTAAAAGCGAAATTTTTGCGGCTGCCCCTTCCCCATGACAAATATTAATGAGTTCTAAATTGTGCTACACTAGGAACTTGACTAATTAGGCTGCTGCTACTTCTTGTTTTTTAGATTACAGGCTTCACGGAAAAAGTCAGATTTGCCCATTACAGATCAAAGCAACTAGTCTCTGAAATTGCTAAAGATAGCAGCTAATAACTTACTATGGGGGAAAATGGATTCATTTTTCAATAACTGAATATTCTTCATTTCTTTTCTTTATATCGTACTATTTCGAAAGAATAAACGTTCGTTTCACCGTTAGACTTGGATTGGACCGGCGGCCCAAAAGAAAAAAACGTTTCTTCGATTCATTTGCTCACTCATACATAGTCAACTTGGCTTATAGGATAATGCATCTTTGTTTCCTCTGACGATATCAGGCAATTAAATGGAAGAAATATGCGTATATAAATAATCACATTTCTGACTTACAAAAGGCACATACAGAAATGAAAATAAACAGGGAACATTCAACGATTCAATTGGATAATTTACCTGATGAAATTCTTATTATGATTTTAAAAAAGATGTCCCAAACTGATGTACTCTATTCTTTGATAGATGTTAATCAACGACTTAATGCGATTGCACATGATCCTATTTTTACTAATCATTTAACCTTACGGGAATTTATCTCGAATGATTCCATCAATCCATCAACTGACTCAATGTTTGATCGATTTTGTTCGCACATTTTACCCAAAATTAACGATAAAATCAAATGGCTTGATCTTGACTCATCATGTATGGAACGTATCCTTCGAGCTACTAATTATCCTAGTCTATATGGACTTACTCTATATAATATGAACGTAGAAATATCTATGCACTACGCAACTGGTAAGATCTATTATTTCAATAGTTTTTATTCAGAATAAATAAGAAGTTTATAGAAAGAAAAAATTGCCATCATCGTTTCTTTGAATCTAACATGCGAAACTTTGTATTTATTTTTAGATGAAACTATTTTAAGTAATCTATTTCAAAATCAAATTCTATCACTTACTATTCATCTGAGAGAAGCGGAAGAAGAATTTTATGCAGCCTCGTTGAATGCAGTTATATTTATGGATATTATTAATACGTTCACCAACCTACAAAATTTAAATTTCTGTCCATCTTCAATTTCGAATTCAGCGTTATCATTTAATACTTATATTCTAAGAATGACTTCTTCAACTCTCTTAGAACTACATATCCGTGTGACAGATTTCAACGATTGTCTTTATTTACTTGATGGACGTTTCAGTCAACTTCGTAGGTTGTATGTTAATATTTCTTCGGTTTACACGTTATCATTCCGAACCAAAATACGGTAGACTAATTTTGATTTTTATCTAATTTATCCGAATGAAAAAATGGGATGTGTTCTCTTTTCTAGGAGAATCTGCCTAATTTAAAATGCTTTTCACTGAATTGCAAAAACACGTTATATTATTATGATGAATTAATTGTTCCACTTCTAAACCGAATGATCAATCTAGAAGAACTTGGTTTATATATAATAGTTAGTATCAGGAACACATTCGTTGATGGCAATGATTTGAAAAACAAAATTATCAATAAAATGTCACGATTGAATAAATTTCACTTTAACATTCGTTCAACTATTGCTCTTCGGAATCAAATTAATTTACAATCAAATGAAGATATTCAATATACATTCAAAGATTTTCGTGATAATCATATTATTTCTTGTGTTGATTATTTTTCAGAGACTCGACAAGGTCAATCTCATATCTATTCATATCCTTATACATTGGACAATTATCATAGAATAACTAATACTTTTCCAGGCGGATTATTTAAATGTATCTCTAAAATATCATTATATGATGAACGACCTTTTGAACACGAATTTTTTCTTCGAATTGCTCAATCATTTCCATTGGTAAAAGATTTAACTTTGGTTAATGTGAAACCTCAAAATGGTAAAGAAACTGATGGCAACCAAAATTTGCCAATCATTGAATATGCTCATCTTACCACGCTTGATCTTATTAAATCTCATTTCGATTATATCGAACAATTTCTACTTGATACAAAAACGACTTTGTCAAGAAATGTTGATCTTTCTGTGGTTTATCAAGCACTGAGAAAAGTAACACAAAAATTTGAAAGCAATGCTACACGAAGCAATTGTTCGAAATTGAGTGGTTTAGCTATTGTTGGCCAACATCGAATTCCTAAATATGTACAAAAATATTTTCCTCATACAGAAATATCCATTTGTTAATTTTTATCAAATATTGTTTAAATAAAATGTGTTCAAAACGAAATCATTATGAAATGAATGAGAAAAAATACTTTCAAAAATCTGAATTGATAGGAAAGAAATTATGTACTATCATAGTCAGAAAGAATCATTTGAATCCAACGAATGCCATAAATTATATTATTATCTATTGAATTAATAGATAATATATCATTTACATTTTGTCCATTTATTTTCTATATTATACTTTATTTATCTTTCGTAAGAATTGAGTAAGATGTTTATTTTTATGATGTTCGAATTTACAGGGAAATTGAAAGAAAATGGCACTCAGATAAAAACTGTATAAGTCGTGAATTCAATTTTATTTTTTTCGAACTTCAAAAAAATAGGATTTAAAAAAAGAAGCTTTCAATCTTCTACTATCAAGTTTGTTTTAATAATCGTTTTGAATATCAATCTTCTAAATTTGTGATTTAAATCAAAATATTATATTTCACATCATCTTGGTCATTGTATGAAAGAAAGCGACACAAAACCATGATCGTATTTTCCAATCTTTTTATTTTCTCATCAATATAAACATGAACCCATTTTCATATAGACAGTTCTATTGTATTTATAACTTCTTCTTTGTAGTGAGGATGTAATATATCTAGGTCTTTCGAATTCGATATGATTTTGAATTTGAGATTTAGTCTCAAAGTTATTTTAATTCTAATATAAGTCTAATGCTAAAGCTGTGGGTTTGTTGTTTATCTACTTTGCAAATAAGCAATTGATTCAATTCATATGATTTCGATAGTTTATAAAGTTTTATCAAGAGAGAAAGTGCAGATTTGGAACTCTCAGCACTAGACAGTGATTTTGGTACTTGGTACCTGTACTTTCCCCCTTGGCTATTGTTCAATATATATATATGTATATGTATTTAGGAGCCATTTCACGTAAATCACCATCGGAATGGCTCGAACGAGTGTCGTCAGATTTCCTTCAATTTAGAATCTTCTCGTCGAGTGAAGAATCTTATGAGCTTTGGTGCAACCCGTTTTGAACAAAATTAAACTATAGAGTTTTTATCGTTGCTTCACAAAAATGACCTAGATTAAGAGGGCCTTGACAAGACCATATCTCAAACAATGGCATTACCGATTGAGCCGAAATTTTTCAAGGAAATAGATTCTCATGAATTATCAGTAATATGAAATTTCCACTATCGATAAACAGCTTACCGGTGAATATCTTTGAAAAATGTGCAACTTTTCATACTCTGCCCTGCCATTCATAGGCATGATTTTGAGATAAACTTTTCTTCCAACAAATAAAGATGATTTGAAGGTTGAACTTGCACAATTAGAAGACCCATCTGAGATTTACAACATCATGGTAAAGATTTCCGTATTCGAGAACTAAATTACTAGATCAATGCTATTCTGTATGTTTTAGAAACAAACAGTACTCTGAATCGAAAAAAGTTCAAGATCAAGCAATAGAATGGTAAATTGCTTTATTTTAATAGTGGTGTTAAGAAATATCAAGCTAGCTATTTTTTCTGGCATAATGCCAATTGCCCTGACCAGATTGACTGACCAATTCGAATAATCCGAAGAAGAGTTATTTCGGTCAACTGTATACGACTGCTACCATTACTTTTCCTATGATTTTTTCATCAACATATAGAGAGGATACGTCAAATTAGTAATGATACAACAAAAACTTGCCTTTCTTCAACGTAACACGATTGAGAACGCACAAAAACAAATTGAGTTCGTAAATTTTTATTCGAATTATACCAGATGGCCCTATTCATTAAATAATAACTATCACGACTATCAAGTACATTTTGGTTGAATTTAAGACGAATTTTTTGTTTTCTAGTTGTAATAAATTCCCGACGTTTACAAAATTTTAAAGAAAGATTATATGTGAAAAATTGATACTTTTATTATATATAACAACAAGAGTATTTTAAATCGATTAACATTCAAATATTGAACGAGCTTATTTATATCATCAACGAGTCAGTATTCGTTGTAACAGTCAACCTTTCACTTTCATCAAACTAACTTATGACAGCTATATCTTCTTATTTCTTCTTTGGCACATTCCTGATTGGTGCTAAACTGTTCGTTGTCCTTGAATAATGAGTGAGGCTATTGATGAAAGAAACAGCAAATGACTAGACGAGAGCAGTGAATAAGAAAAAATAGCTGAACTACAAATAACTTTTGGGCATCATTCATCGAGTTGTACTATCGATGGTAGACAGAAAAAAAACTAGGCAAAATTGAACATAGGAAATAAACAAGTGGTAGGACTCATATATCATATAGATCGTGGTGCGAAAGTTACGGGACAAAATATTTGTTCATTTTTTACCCACTTGAAAGTACTCGAGACAAGTGAAAAGGAATCATGTAGAAACAGAATTCGATGCTCTGTTTGAATATGGGCTCCGAAAGTTTTTGTCTGATTTTTCTCCGGAGTAGGAAGGGAATCTTAGAAAGACCTGAACAATTTTCCATACATTTTCGTATTTCCATTATTGGAATCGGTAACTAAAAGTCGGAACCTTTATTAATACATTAACTTGTAGAGCAAAATTTATCCTACGAAATTCACTATTTCCGTTCTTTTTTTTGTCTTTTGGGAGAACACCTCAATTTTCGTTATTCTTGCACTCTTTTTCGTAAAAAGTTCGTTACACACGAAATGCCTATAGTTTTATTTGAGTATAAACTACAGATTAATTCAATATTTCATTTGTAAAAACATATTTGCTGTACAAAAATTATCGAGTCGGATAAATGTTAGCATCTTTACCATGGGACCTATAGAAGTTAGCTAAACCTGTTATTCATTGCTGGAGATAATCTTTTAAGCCTTAACAAAATGAAATAACTAATCTCAACCAAAAACAGACAGAAATTTTCCAGGTCAATATTCAGAAAGAGTGCAAAATTTTGGTTCTAGTCCATAGCTTTTAATGCGTACGACATACTTTCAAGCAAGCCAAAATAAAAAATATACTGTACAGAAACTTCGACCCACTTGTTCCGTCCAAATTAATTTTTTATGCCTCTTAGATATTCCCTCACTACTCTAGAACAAAATTAGACAAAAAATTTCTGAGCACATTCAGAAAGAGCATCAAATTCTGGTTCTACATGACATATTTTCACTTGTCTCGAATACTTTCAAGTGGATCAAAAATCTCGTCATATTACTAAAAAAATTGGCATTAACCGAAGACAAAGAATTTTCATGTATTAGTAATGTAGAAATTTGGTTACTTGTTCACGTCATCATTCGAATTTATATCCAGACATATATCTTTCTCCCAATTAATTTTTCGTTCTACTCTTTATTAATTCCGAATGGTCTGATTTAAACTGTAGCAATAGTGGAATAGTCTTCAACATAATTTGTTTATTAAAACAAGAAGTGATATTAATGTTCATCTACGTGGTTGCTGCATTTCTCTACACATGTTTTTATTTAACGAAGATCGACTACACCATTACATACGTAGTCCTTATTCGATGGTCCATTGAAGCTACATTGGCTTCGTATATTTTTTGGCATACTATATTAAAGGTAACGAAGTTTGTCTGAATGGACCTCATTTATCATCTATTTTTGCAATGATTATCAAGGTGCCATTATTCATAATGATACGATATACCGAAAGTGAATCTGATTTTTTTCTACATGACTTAGGAAAGTTTCTTTTTCATACGTTATGTTGTGTATCTAAAAATAAAGTATTTGATTTAGAAGGTAATCATTCGTTGAATCGTCAATAGGCCTCGTATTTTTCTTTCGATAAAATATCAATAAATCGAATTCTAGTAAAAAACGATTCTTAATGCGGTAAAAATCCCTTCTGGTTTCGATTTGCAAAAAAATTGGAATTTTACTTTCTGACCAAGAAGGAAATTATAGATTTCAAGACTTGAAAATCATTCGGAAATTTATTTTACAAGTTTCTGAAAAACAAAAGAAAGGCAGAAGTGACAAAAAGGACATTACGAATGAAAGTGAGTGATATCATTCCCAAGAAATGTCAATAGTTTCGGTTCCGACATGATCCTAAAAGTGTTAATGAAAATTCGAAGCCGATTTCGATTCAAACAAAGTCGATTTGGTGTTATGCCTATCGAAACCAATACTTTTTAACGGATTAGACCAAGGTAAAAATTGTAAAATATCAACTTTGTCTGATAGGATAAAATACGTGTCCGAATCGAAAATTTACTTATTAAAATTGTATATAGAATTATCAGCATTCAACGAAATAATTCTAATCATGTTTATTCCTTATTTTTAGAAAGCAAATTTATAGTTCTGTAATTGATATTCAGCATTGCATAGTATTGTTTTTTAGGCTGTCATCTTCTCAGAATGAGAGTTGTCTGTCGATCGTCTCAAGAAAAAATACGTAGAATATATAACAATGAGCACATTTAAGTAGACTTATCAAACAAGTTTATTTTCTATCAAACGAAGAAAAATAATTTGATTGACTGCAGATGAATCTAAGGTATGATGGAAAAATGTCGAAAACAAAATTGAGGGATGAAAATGTGGATGTAACAGTAAGGGTGATGTTTTCGATATTTTTCCATCCATTCACTTCGATACGACATATACATGCCTAACGAAAGAGAGAATAGACGTTTGTTGTAACAATCAAAGTGCGTTCGACCAATGATAACGCTAATAGGAAATGACCGGTAAACAAGCACGGCGACAGAAAGGAAGAGAAACGACGGACGTTCTTTTTCCGTTCATCATCTCCTATGCTGCTCAACTGCTTCAACCGTAACACTGTTGAACAAACAATATCATTTTTAATAAGCGAATAAGACTGAAAAAAAGTCGATTCGATTCGACTTCTTTTTGGATTGCTTTTTGTTGATTCGATTCTCAATGATTAACTATCCTTTAGTTCGAAATATATTGTTTTTGTTCTCAGACAAAAAATAAATAGATCAATGAGTGATACACCGAAAAAGAAACGAATTGAAGAAAGCGAACAGGTTGTTGATGAAAAATACGAATATATTACAAAACTACCTGATGGAGGTTATGGTTGGGTAATTGCTATTACTGCGATGGTATTTTATTTTTTAAATTTATTATCATTAATATTTATTTTATTTTATTTTGCTCATCGACTTAGCTTTGTAATCTTGTTTGTGATGGGACATTGTTTACTTTCGATAGCATGAAATTTAATTTACAAAAACATTTTGGATGTTCTGACATGATTATTCTTCTCGCGGTATCTGCTCCTTGTGGCATTTATTTATTAGTTGGTATGTTTAATTTCGTCTTTTTACGAAAACTAAAACAGTTATTTTTTTTTTGTAAAGGTCCAATTGTATCAGTTCTCTCTAAGAGATATAGTTTTCGACTAACAATTATAATTGGAAGTATTGGTTCAGCTGCTTGTACATTTATATTAACTATGTCAAGAAATCTTATGGAACTCATAATTATTCATGGAATAATTGGCAGTGTGTTTTTTTGCATGGTTTATCTTTCGTTCGTAGAATTATTTAAAAAAGAATGTATCCATAATTTTCTTTTTTTCTCGATAAATCTAGATCAATAGTAGTGATTTCATTTTATTTTGACAAAAAACGAGCTATTGTCAATGGTATATGATCAGTTAGTCAATGCTGTGTTTAGATTTGTGTATTGCTTGTTTTAGGATTCGTTATGGCTGGCGGAAACATTGGTGCTTTAATATTTTATCCATGGTCTAAGTATGTGATGGAAACGTTTGGTTGGCAACGTGCTTTACTTACACTTGCTTTTATCATGCTGACATGTATTTTATTCGGAACAATAATGAAACCATTAAAACCAGAGCGAGTACCAATACAGCGAACGGATGTAAAATCATTGTAAGTATCTAATCATTTTGTTTATTTATTGTATAATATTACATATAAGGATATCATAAAAACAAAACCGGATCTTACAACAGCATCGTCAACTGATGATGCGAATATGGTAAACTTGAAATATATTAATATTTGCAAAAATAAAGTTTATATTTTCATAGCCATCATCGTTCTACAATCATGCAATGAATACGAATGATCAAATTAATGCTCCTGATGTTTCAAATTTAATTGTAACATCTTCACATGGTGGTACTAACACAATATCACCATCACGTCGACCATCATCGAATGCAAATGTTTCTCATCTCTTTGGAGTTCCCGATGCAGAAAATGCATGTCGTCCATTAGATAAAAAAGATGTACTATTCACTGGCTCAAAACAACAATTTCATACATCACAAAGCAACACGTATGCACCATCGATGATAAATTTTTCAATATTGAAAAATTGGCAGATGCTACTAATTTATATCGGAAATGTTTTTTCTATGGTTGGATATGGTTTATCAATCGTGAATCTTGTTTTACTTGCAGTTTATGGTCATGGGTTAGATATAAGAAGTGCATTACGTTTAAGAAACGTATTTGGTAAATGCAAAAGAAACATAACAACACGATGAGGAACTAAATTATAATCTATTTTTCTTTTTTTAGAATTTTTCTATACATTAGGCCTACTTTCAGGAGGATTTATGACTATGATACCTCATCTCAGTGCTTTACGCGTTCATAATACATTTTTATTCATTGCTGGTATTGTAACCGTTTTAGCTGCTTATGCAAATAACTTCATAACTCTTGCGCTCTATGCTGGTGTATTTGGTTTTGCCATTGGTATGAACATGATATTAAATATATAAAAATTATATTATGCGAAAATATTTCTTTTAGCACCTCATGCGTCACTTTTACTAAGTGTAATATGTGATTGTGCTGGTCTTGATCGGTATATAACAGCTATTAGTGTTCTACTTCTTGTTCGTGGTGTTTCAAAGTCAATTGGAGTATTTGCTACAGGTTGATACTAAAAATGAAAAACAAGAAACAATAATATAAAACTTTGTTATTTATTTCTAAAATAGATCATCACGTAATTTCAAAAATAGGTTATTTCGTAAGTTACCGTAACAGCTATAACTTAGCATTTATGCTTGGTGATGCAATGATCATAATTAGTGCTTTCCTTCATATGTGTTTATCACGTGTTCAACTCGAACGTTTGCAAGAAAAAAAAGTAGTCGAAAAAGAAATGGAAAACATTGATGTTTGATATTTTTTTCTTGTTTCATTAATTCAATGCGTTTTTTTTGATGAATAATTCAAAAAGGAACTAATGTAATTCTTTCATTTTCGCTTTTTTTAAGTATTAGTTTCGGTCTTTTTGCGTGTGTGAATGCAGGTGCAGTCTCTTTGCTAACTACTACCTACATCCACAAGATTTGGCACAAACTTCAATTGACAGAATAAAGCTGAGAAAAGAAAAAAAGTCTTACTCAACAAATTCTTAACGTGCGACTATTGTGAATATAGAACTTGAATCTTAAAAGGCAAACATCGGGTGTGGGTGTGGGTGTGCTTGTAGTTATTTCTATTATGAGCACCCACACTCTCGTAGAAAGAAAATACTCGATATTTTTGGCATTTTATTTTATTTAAAAAGCTTCTCACTCTAGCCTCTCACTTGGGCTAAAATGTGAAAGTGTCATATATGCTCTAAACTCATTCAATCAATTGAAAAACCCTGTATATAAAAAATTCATTGAGAGACCGATTGTTTTGCAGAATAATGGGCCATAAAAATATACACGGTTTTAATGTCTAACTGAAGTTCCTATTTGTCTATGAGCGCCTTATTTTTTCGCACTGTTGCTATTCACACGTTGTTTGCCGTTTTTTAAACTCTTTTTTTCCTGATTTAATATTGTTAGCGAATGTAATCGTTATATTTAATTTGAAACAAGGTAAGTCTGATATACATATGACCAATATCTACAAAATGTTTTAACCAACTAGTAGTATATATACCAACGAGTTCACCAAGAACTATAATTATTTCCGTTCAGAGCTATTATTTGGCCAATTTTGAAAAACTCTGTACGAAGGTGTGTGGTTATTACTGTTATTCACATCATAGTTTTAGCATTACACCCGTATTGTATTTAGCCGTGAGTCTAAGTGATGAGGAGACAAACCGTCACACCCCTGCCCTTCCGTTAATTTACTAGTTGGCTATTTTTTTCGTTGCACCGAAACTGTTCTTGGGTTGCATTAGTTTCGCTCAAAATATTTTCATTTTTTTGTGCTAGTTAAGATTTTTTACTGGAAAGTCTTTCATTGGTTCGTACCCTTCCCTTTATGTGAACATATATGTGTGTGTTGAAGGAGAACGTGAGCCTGCTCTCGTGTATACATGAGTTTCATGTTCGTTACTGCTTTATCAGGCTTGTGCGCTTGATCACACACGCGTGCCTGTGCGTACTGAATTTGGATAAACTTTCTCCTTTTACTGCAATACGACTTTATTGAATAGAAAAGCGTTGGATCCTGTGAGGCCCATTTTGACCACTCTCAGAGACGTAAATATTGCCTTGACGGTCGAAAGACAAGCCTACGGGCCAATTTATCGGAGTATCTACACCGATGATGGCAGTGCCTTGTATTGCTCCTTGAGGCCAACGAGTTACTCGATGGTTTCTCGATTCTGCTACATAGAGCGTACTAAATTCATCAACAAAGAGCCCTTCGGGATGCGACAATTGTGTCAGAGCAACACCTTTTCCTTGACCGCCAGCAGCGACAATTCCTGCTGTAGCGTTTTTATTCCATTTCATTACACGATGATTGAGATGATCGGACACGTAGACAGCGTGTTGTTGATCGACAAAGATGAAAAGTGGAGCATTGAGTTGACTGAGACCAGAACCTTTTCCATGTCCACCAGCGACAAGATCTCCATTCCTCATGTCTCCTTCCATTCTATATCGTCTTACTTCTTGTTTCTCATTATCAGAGACGTATAGACATCGTTGATTATCCATAAATAATCCTCTACAACAGACATTATTGATAAGAATCTCACCTTGTATAGTTTCATTACGACGAGACCATCGAACGACTCGTCGATTTTGCCAATCACTAATAATGAGACTATCAGTCTCTTTGTCAATTAATACATCAGTCGGACAACACAATTGATTTAATCCATTTCCTTGGCCTTTTCCTCCAGCTACGACTTGTCCATTTGTGTCACCTATCTTCCATTGGACGATACGATTATTCCAGCTATCAGCAATGATGATCGTTTGATCATCATCAGCAACGGAGAGACTATAAGGCCGACAGAGTTCATTAACGATATTGCCTACTCCATTGTTTCCGGCAACAGTCTTTCCATGTGGTGACCATTGTGCGTTGACAGGAATCCTAGGAATCACTACAATAGATAAACAATGACAAAAACGATTAAAATAAAAGTTCTAGCAAAGTTAATTCTTCATGTAAATAAAACGAAGAATGAACTGCGAAATATATATGGGCGTGGACGTAGGTGTGGATCTTGCGTTTCTCCTCATTCAGACCCACACCCACACCCTTTCTGAAATAAAAAGTGAATAAATGAAGGAAAAACTAGATGCGTCTGTGATATTGGTAAAATGGTTTCCATTTATTTTCTAGAAAATAGCAGCGAATAAGGCATATACAGAGAAAAATAGATGACGATAGAGAGTGAAAAAATATTTATACACGAAAATGAATTTTTCCGTCCATTTTGTTTGTTATATCTCGATCGTTTGGCAGTAAAGGCCTTCGAATCAGGCTCCAAACATCCTTATCTCCGGACTCGGGCCCTGTTTCAAAAACCTGATTTTGCAGCTTTCTATTCGACATAAATATAATGACGAAGGGACAGTTTTTGTATTTGCATTGCGGACACTTTCAGATTTATTCAATGGCGTTCCCTGTCAAATTCAGCATCAAAATGTTTTATTTCCACGTCAGTGTTTCCAGAAATTCGTATGTAGAAAAGTCTTTCAGTTGTTAACCGATGTGGAATACTATTTCGATCAGCTGCATTGTCAGACTTCGCAGTTTAACTATTATCGATATCTTGGCCCTTCACTCATTCTGTCAGAAGAAGCACTTATGAAAGCTCACTAAATGGCACTGCAATTATTTAAATTCGTGATACTAATTTATTATAGATTGCAATCTTCACCTTGATTTCTCTCCCGTGAACTTTTCCCGAGAACTATGATCACATTAGTAAATCTTACCACTCCTTACCATTCCTAAGTAACAGTAGTGTCAAACTTGAATTCGATTGAAAATTGAAATTTTCAATTGAATTCAAGTTAGACATATATGGAAATTTTTATTGGTTCAGTGCATACTGAAATCTGATTGCATAATAGAAAACTATGCAATAAAAATATTCAGGTCATTGTTTGTCTGATGAATTGGCCTTGAAAGAACACACCCTCAAAAAGATGAAGGACAAAAACAATGTCCAATCAGATAAAGAACTAATATAGAGAGAAAGAAGAAAATAACATGCTACTAGAAAGGAAACATCACCAACATATTTGAAAAAGTTAATTCAGATCAATTTTTGAACAAAGAGTTAAGATGAATTGCTAAATTCTAATGAATTCTGTCGATAGGTTTAATTTTAATATACTCACAGTTCTGTGGTTTACAAATATAAATCAATTGACTCCAATTAATTTGATCATTATCAATTATGATGGTTTTATTTTCACATTCTTGAATAAATTGTTGAATTTTTCGTTGCGTTTCATTTAATTTCTGCTTCAGTCTTTCAATATCATTTTCAGCAAAATTTTCTTCTTGTCGATGAGAACGAATTTCTTTTGTAATTGGTTCTAGTTCTTGTATTAGAACTGTTCTTTGTTTATTGATGAGTTCAGTGAGTTCATGATGAGCATTTTCTGCTGCTTTTTCAACTTTTCTAATTGTTGTCTTTTTCCATTCTTCAATTTGATCAAAAAGATTGAATGATAAATAATTTGGTTGGTCTAATTTTTGAATTTGATCAAAAAGTTCATCATGTGATTGAACTATTTCGTTATCGAATTTCGTCGATAAATCTTGTTCATGTTCTTTGAAATCCTTTGAGCAAAAATAATTTTTACATCCAACACAAAATCGTCTAGCGGCTGGTTTATTACATGTCGAACATAGATTTGAATCATCTGTTGTTGCCATTTCTCTTAAAATAAATTCCCATAAATTTTTCTGAACTAAATTCTGAAAATATTTTTATCTAAAATAAATTCATATGAAAATTTATAAAGAAACGATCTTATATGACTCCTTTCATATGTTGTGAAACTCACACATATTTTCGAAGAAAATGTTGAGCGTAAGTTTAAAAGCGAGATTTTTGCGGCTCCCCCTCCCCATTACACCCACTTACAGACACCACCTTGTATTACAGATAGTAGCAAGCATGCAAAAACTAAATAAGACTTTTTCTGCCGATCGATTTTCTTGCAGCAAATATCGCACCGCGCATTATGTATAAGCAAATTAGGCGAAAAATCATATGTGAGTTCCACATTTTAGCCCCGAAGGACCTGCGCTAACAAGCGTTTTCATTTAGAACTTCAATTGAAATTTCCTTCGCTTCGCATATCTATGACTAAGTCTGTGTACTATAAAGTTATATTAGTCGTCAATGAGGTGATATATGTTTGAATCAAACAACTACATGCAACCAATTCGACAAGTTTGTATCGTCTTAAACGGCAGGCTTATAAAATAAATTAATGGATGCGCACTAGGGGTGTCATATTTAAATTTTAAAAAATTTATTAAATCGGGAAATAAATTTTCAAAAATTTAAACTTAAAATAAATTTAAATTAAATTGTTTGAAATTCAAATTAGTTAAATTTTGAAAACTAGCAGATAAAAATAGTTTTTGACTTGATTTCTACTATTTAAAGTCAAATTTGAGTATGTTTCCTGTTTTCTAAAGTTAAAACTAGTCATTCTTCTATGAATTGTGCTGTTAAATATATTTTTATGAGTATCCCAGTATTCTGAAGAAGAAAGATGACGGATCCTGCATAATCTGTAGAGAAATTTTGACTATTATGAATAAATATTAACCTAAAATACTAGATTTTCCTCTCATTTAGTATTTATTACTGTTAAAGTCACGTATTTCTCTCGTAGCAATGATGTGTATCCATCCAAACAATTTATTAAATTTAAAATTTAAATTTAAAAGAATTTATTAAATCGAGAAATAAATTTTCAAAAATTTTATTTAAATTTAACTTCATAGAATTTAATTTTAAATTAAATTAACTTTTCACGAAGTTAAGTTTAAATTAAATAAACTGTAAATTGACACCCCTAATGCGCACATTAGTGAAAATTGAACGAAAAGCTATCTGAGTGTAACAAAGTGAATTTCTCTATGAAGTATAAGGGTGTTATCAATAAATTTCGCAGTTTAATTTTTGTTTAGACTAGATGTTTGGCCAATTTAGAAAACGATGAACAAACCTAAACTGATTCAGTTTATTTCTGCAACCAAACAAGCTTATTCGTCATTTGATGAAACTTTTCTTTTTGGTTTTCGTATGTGAAATATGATGCAAAAAGAAGTGACGAACTTGCACGAATGAAAAAATCAGGCCCTTCTTTTCTGCCGAAAGAAAAAAATGAAACAAAAACAAGTCTTCTGAGTAAAAAAAATTTTGCAAGAATGATTTTACGGAAGTGAAATTCTGCTAGAATAGGCCTCTTCAAATGCCAAACACAAAACTATTAAGATGATAACTGCATCCTAGGATTATAGCTCTTCTTGGATTTTCGGGAATATCACATTAATTTATAATTAATTTAATAATTTGTTTTGCATTCTCTAGTTATAAATGATTTATTTTTATTTTTTTCGGTGACGTTTCGTCAATGACTTCATCAGACTACTTATATATGTTAAGATTAGAATACATTATCTGTTTAATATAGTGGAACGAACAAGACAGTAGTATTGGACGAAATTTGTCTTTTTCGTTCGTTCCACTATCTTAAATAGACAATGTATTGTAATCTTAACATATATAAATAGTCTGATGAAGTCAATTTCGTTGTTATATTTGTCACTTGATACTTTTTAATTAGCGAAAATGAATTACTCATAGTATTGTGTTAGTTCTACTCACCATCACCTTTTGTTGATTCTATAACTCGTTGAAAATTTAATTGTTTGCCATAAAAAAAAATACTTTTCTTTATATTCATACAGTACCATAAGAGAATAAACGAGCAGCAATCTTTCACGCGTGGGAAGAAAAGTTATTTTTGCTAAGAATACGACATGAGTTTGTTTTGAAGTATTTCGATAGTATGTGACTCATTAACATACAAGAACAACATAGAGTCAGCTGCAACGAATCGAAATGTTTGTAAAGCATTATTATGATGCTAAATCAGCGGAGTGAGGGCGGATGAGCTGATTGGAATCATACTCAATTATTGATAATCATTGCAAATTACAGGCAATCGACGTTGATCAATAGCAATCGATATTTTTTTAATGGAAATTTTACAAAATGCTTATTCTATACTAGAGCGATAGACGCGTCTGCACATGAAGCAATTGATGAATCGATACAATGTTGATTAGACAGACTTGACTGAGCAATTATAGAAGAATATTCATTTTATTTTAATTGCATAGATTTATTGGGAACTGAACTATTACTATATTAATGAAAAATCTATCATCGCCTATTACGATAAATGAGTTAGACGCGTATGTCCGAATTGTCGAGCATTTTCTTGTTACAAATTCTACCAATTATATCTGATTTCATGCTTGCTAAAAGAATATGTATAAATGAGTGTCTTCGTATGAGTGTTTTTACATGATCGGCCCAACAATGGCAAAACACCAGTGCTACATTAGTGTTGCAATCGTTGAAGAAATCACATGTTTCCGACGTTTTGTCGAAACTGCCTGATAAAAAACATTCGAGGCATCGGGACAGACTGAGCACTCAAATATACTTAGGTTAATCCGAACGTTGTGTCGAATATTCTTTGTTTCTGAATAGTAGGCTCAAAGAAATTTTGTTTTTATATGAAATAATAGAGAAAAAGATCTACTATTTTTCAATGTTACTTCATCAGTGTGGAACTTAACTTTTGTAATTGATCGAAGCATAGGATGTGAGGCTCTGTTAAACTGTAACAGCTACATCCTTACCAGTGGCGGAATCACAATGAGTTTAAGACGAATTCGACTGACATACGGAGATTATCGGATCCGGCCAAACAACGAAATCCGCTCGTATCCCGGGAAATGCAACTGAAAAGAGATCCAACCGATGAAATATATTTTATTAATCGGCTACTAAGTACTATCTGGCAACATTACGAGAGGCCGATCAAAACTTCCACTGAGATTCTGACAAATGGCTACAGTAGAATCTGATAACACACAATATTAGGGATTCTTATATCGTTTTCGTGTAATCCAATAAACCTAAACTACGGATTGTACCATGCATATCGATAGGTTATTGCAATCCGCTTCAATCAAACCACATTTTGATTTAAACGTTAGCACTGACACATGCAAATATAATTATTTTTATGAATTGATAAATAATGGAGATCTTGAGGGTGTGGGTGTGGGTGAGGGTGTAGATGACCAGAAGAATCACACCCACACCCACATCTTGGAATTACGTAGCGAAAATGAATATGATTTGAAGCCTACCATTGATCAAATAAAGGACGAAGTTTTTGGCGACGAAAATGTGATGAGTAATGCTCGTACATGTGATTCCGCGGTATCCATTATGGGAAAATATACAGATGTTGAAATTTTTTTCAATTATACTCTCAGTGAATTTCCTCCCAATCGTGAAATGAAATCGCAAACACTAAGGCTAGATGATCCTCAGATCGCAGATATTCTTTGTAATATGTCTAATACTTATTACAGCAGAAGTGATTACTCGAAAGCGCTTGAGGATGTGGGTGTGAACAGGAGTTGTACACATGCATGACGTGCACACCCACACCCACACCTTAGATTGAATGTTTTCTGTAGTTCAATTATAGCTGAAAGAAAGATCGATGTCTACTTGAATTTTATGAGTAAAATACATAGTTTCGTTTTAAAAAGCTTTTCTGTCTTTCGTCACTCCATTTTAAATATCATTTCAATAGAATTGAATAGATGCCGATTTTGTGTAATTGACACTGTTTCTGGTTTATTAATTGGAGTTCTAGCAACGGTAACTTACGTAGATAGGATATAAAAGGAAAAAAAATAGTTTCTTATAATCATTAGATAAAAAATGATCGATCATGAATCAACGAATGGTGGGATTGAGTCGCATATATGAGGATCATCTGAACGAGCTGTCTTGAAATCACACAATAATTTTCGACGACATTCATGATCACATTGACTCCCATCCTTATACGATTTCGTGTAGTGTTTGTATATGGAACTCATCAATGGGCCGTCAATATCATTTTTTAATCTGTCAATTAAATCATTCCAATCGTTTGGGAATAAATTCTTCATTTGATAGGCATCTCGTGCTTCGTATTCGTCTTGTATTATTGTTCTGTTGTACATGTTTGATGCAGTCAAATTCATAATTACCGTACGATGATCCAATACCCAATATGAACTTCCTGAATAGTTCCCATCCATTGTATAGATCCGATAGCTTGGATTCGAAAATGGTCGAGGACTCAAAGAAGGAGTTATATAGGCCTTAAAATGAAGAGAAAACGAAATAGACGATTTGCTTTCCTAAACTACACAAACCATGGAAACAGGACGGTTTGAATCGACTTCGTCGTAGAACATATTAAACTCATCATAATGTGTATGACCATAGAATTGACCGGCGATTGTATTCTCATATCTAAACTTGTTTCTACAAGTCAATATAAAATATTTATTTCAACTTCTCACCGATTGACGATTCGATTAAAATTCCAACTAAAAGCTGCTAGACAAAAACGAGGTGGATGATGTCCAATAATATGAACTTTTTCTTCATGATCTTCAGCATATTGCAACCATTGCACCAACTATAGAATAGTGTTTAAGTAGCATTGTTTTTCTTTTATCTACCTTCCTTCTCAAAGCATACTCACCCACTGAAGTTGATCAAGTGGATCGGTCGCATTGATCAATAACCAAAAGTTTTGTGGTGAACAATAATTCATATTGAGCGAAATCAGGCGTAGACCGGAACGTATCACTGTTGTATAGAAAGCTCCATGCAATATACTGTCACGTGTGTTAATAGGTAAACCAAGTTTAATCCAACTACTTGCCAATACTTCGTACAACCAGGAAATATTTTCTCCTGGAATCATCGGCGTTGGAAAAAGTTCTGAGGGTGCTATAAATAACCGACAAAGTACATAAAACATGAATAGCCAATGAAACATAGATCATCGTCGTATTTACCTGCTTCATGATTACCAACTGTCGAATAGAAAGTTTTGTTTGGAAAAATTTTGGCTAACAAGTCATTCATGGTATTAATCGTGTAGATTTGATCAGCACGAGACTGATTCCACACATTATGAGGTGGCAAATCTCCAGTATAATAGACGAAATCAATATTCTAAAATAGAAACAGACGGGTTATTCACTAGAAAAACATGCAATATTTTCCCTAATGACATTTTCTACTGCTGCGATATGCTGAAACATAGCTTCAGCCGTCCAATAGGGTAAATCACAACCACGATAGTCGCCCCTAAACAATTCTTAGATGATATTATTCTACAATAGAACAAGAAAATACATACCAGAAACCGGCACCCGTCTCACTAGGAACTAAGATGAGATGTAGAATCTTTAGAATTATGATGCACAAACGAAATACTCACGAGGCTGACCAAATCGACAGCAAACAGGTTGAAAACATTCCGCTTGAGATCCGGGTTTGTATCCAAAATCGACATGAATATCAGACAAATGAAGGACAGTCAATTTCGGCGATTCAGGCTAACATACAAAAAATTTTGTCAAATTCCTGAGTTTTCTTCGACTGCATGGTTTCAGAGACAATAATATTAGAAAACGAATTGGTTTTTTTCATTGTATAGAAACATGAGCGTAGTACAAAGTTAAATCTCAACTTATCAATATTGAATACCGACGGAAAATTCGAAAATGAATTAATGTGTATGAGAATCAAATGCAAAATAAGTTCTCATATCTATCAACGGCAATGCGAAGAGTGCAAGAAAAATGCAGACATACCGAAGGAGGTTGCGGTGGACGTGGAGGTGGTTTTCGACCGGGCACAGTGATATTCCAGTTCAATTTAGGAAAATCTGATTGATTCTCACAATCAAGAGCAAGTGCACACAATTCTCTACTAGTGAGTGAAGATGCACCAATAACTTCTATCACACACTCCTATCTGAGCGAAGATTCAAAAATATTCGATAGTTTAGTTAATCAAAATCGGTTACCCAGTATTCGTATATAGCGCCGACGCAAACATCGATATCAAGCAAGCCAAATTCTTTACAAAGGTTAAGTGCCAAATGTCTAAATTGTTCGGTTTGATTGTTCTCGATAATTAAACGAGTCTGTGATATCAAGATTAGATTATAGAAATATGAAGGTTAGATTCGCTCACTACTGGCACGAGTAGATTGCAAGCTTCACAATAAGTTGCAGCATCATATTGATGTTTAAGTGCCCATCGAAATGTGTTGAGATTGGGCGAATGTTTAACACGGTGACGAAAATTTGCAAGATCGATAGAATGATCTTTATCACTATTGATTGGACCGTTTACAATTTGATGAACAACATCTTGCTTAACCGATCGAGCATCGATCGATGTGTGCAAATTAAATAGGGTGACAAGAAGAATGAAGACGAAGTATAACATCAACGAAGATTTTCTTGAGGTGTAAAAATGCTACTGAAGACCAAACAATGAAAGAGAAAGACACGATGCTTATCAACATAGTTCTCTTATCTTTTCTTATTTGACTACGAACAATATCTCAAGCTGATACTTGAGCATATTATCTCTGTTTCGATGGGTTTTTATTTCAAAATGCCACGATTTATTAAACGCAGAAGCCTATTCATTGTGATCTGTTTTACCAGTCATGTGACATATAAAATCGCTTGTTCCGGATTTTTATACTATTCTTAGAGTGTTGGGGAAAAATTTGCGCCTATCCCCTAGAGAATTTTGGCATTACTCATTGGCCAAACTCGTGCATCAAATAATATTCATTAAGCACATCCAATTATTTTATTTATCTTTTATTTTCTTGAAAATCATTTTTTGTGCAATTAGTTGATTATGATATTACTAATAATCGGAGTCCATTGGATTCATCCTGAATTTGGTCAGAAAATTTTCTGTTAGTGCTGGATTCAAATTTGCTTTCAGTTCTTGAAACTTAATATTAATCTAGTTTGACTACTAAAATGTTGAACCCGATGAACTTTACTCGTCGGAGAAATGTGTAGACTGCACTACGTAGTCACTGAAGACAAACAAAACGAGACGAACTATTTCATATTCTTGGGGGCGACTATCCGATTCAGACTTAAACTCCACCTGCAGTACAATATTCCTGTGATAGAGGTGAAACGCAGCGAACATAATCGAAGGTCTATGAATCACATAATTTTTCGAAAAATCACCAGCCAAAATCGTGTGCTTATATCAAAATATGCTGATTTTCTAAGATTTTAAACCGAAAATCGAAATGTCTCTTCTCACACCCTTAAAATCTTGAGAGTACGAGTGAACTATACATTTAAACCCACGCCCACACTCATGTTGCTTGAAAACCATTACAAAGCCAATGCAAAGTCTGTTCAATTTCATAGCTGTTTTAGAACCTGTATATGTTCCTTTCGTCTATTTGACGACAACATCAAATTTCTGGATATTAATTAAAACAACGATTCATCGTGTAACTACTTGATGAACGATTCCAACGAATCTCAGCCGTGATTAAACACAACTTAGATCGCCATTATCTCATTAATGAAGAAAATACTGAAGTGGTGATGATTTGCTTGAGGTTTTCCTCTTGTAATGCTACGTTTTTATAACTTGATTTTTGACGCAGATTTGAAACTACTTGTTCATTGGCGTTTTACGAGACGCGTCTCCTGACCACATACAAAAGTGGTTTTATCATATAAACCGTCATTTGTGACTCACCTTTAGTCACAGTTTTATACGCTTCATGTTCATATGTTGTAACAATTCTCTTCCTAATTATTTATTTAGGATTTCGGTATTTCGCCAATATAACTCGCGGTTACATTGCCGTGATAGTTTTACTTGTTAAGATTCCACCAATCACACATCTTGAATAAATATGTAAAAAAATCGTTTGCTTTTATTGCCCCATGTTGCGAAATAACTGAAGCATCATATGTTTTTCTTGATTTGGCAGAGAAAAATGTGTAAAATCATAAATGTAATTGTGTCGCATATTAGAAAAAGCCGAAATGAGAAGAAAGCGACGACAACGAACTTGTTCAACACTTTTGGAAGGTTTGCCTAATGAATTATTGGCTCAAATATTCTCTTATTTAAATGGAGTGGATGCTATTTATGCCTTTTCATGTCTTAATAATCGTTTTAAATGTCTTCTTATCGAAACTTGCGAATTGTTTGATTTTAAATCAATCAGTAAATTAAAATTTGATCTTGTCTTGCAGCATCAAAATACAAAACGATGGAAATCATTAAGAATTTCGGATGATGAACATACACCTGGTCATACAGAATACGTTTGTCAAGTTTATTCTTTAAGCAATGATTTTCCTCAATTACAATCGTTAGTCCTTTTACATTTACACTCTCAAAAGATGTGCACTGTTTTATCCCAACTTTCATCTTTAAAAACTCTTGTTTCATTAACAATTAAATCTTTATGTCGTGAAATAATGCCTCCACTTGATCTTCCAAATCTGAAAAAACTTGTTTTCGGTGCATGTTCTCATATTGATTGGATAAAAGTAAATTTAAAAGCACAGAACATTGAAACGTTTTCTTTATTACTTTTTTTAGAATTTTTCTCAACTTGAAAGTGTTGAATATACAATAGAAAATTGTCATTGGTTTATAATAAACGATTTACCATGGCCATCAACATTAACACATCTTAGAATTATCTTTCATTATGAAGAATGCTGGAGTATTATACAACGTTCACTTTTTCATTTATCATTACTCAATACTCTTGAAATATATCAAATACAAAGAGCGACAATGCCTCCTAATGGCCAAATCTGGGAAACCTTGATTCGTTCATCTCTTCCATTATTAAAAATCTTCAAATTTTATTTTAACTTCAAGTATTCATTGCAATCACCTTATCAAATGGATGAGGCCGTAGCATCATTTTCCACGCCGTTCTATATACTGGAAAATAAATGGTTTATTCGTTGTGATATATCTGACCGTGGCTGTGCACTTCTGTACTCACTACCATTTCCTTTCGAAACTTATACAGCTTTGCAAGGTAATAACATCAAAACTATTTCAACTTTTTTGGATGATTACAACAACGATTTCTATACTAATATATTCTCAAATGTCACAACACTAGAAGTCCTATATAAATCTTCTGAACCCGATGAAAACTTCCATTCAAACGGACTGATTAATTTGACTATTCATAATGATTTTGATTCAATTAAATGGATGCATGTATTGAATAAACTACAACATTTAGAGATGCACTTTCTTACCGCGATGCCACCAAACAATTTTCTTCATATATTGAAAAATGCACCGCATTTACGTTCTTTAGTTACAGAAAAGAGAATTTTACAGATAGCGACAGAACATTGGAATAATATTTCTATATGTGATCATCTATCTTGCAAGATTATCTCGTTAAAATTATGTGGACGACACGCACGAACACAATATATAAATAAACATGCAACTCAACAAATTATTCGGATTTTTTCCTCGAAATGTCAACATTTATCTTTATGTATTCAGTCATCAGACAATACAATCGGTTTTATTTTAGAAAACATGCCTCAACTACAAAGTTTACATGTCAATATTTATGGAAAAATAAAATCCTTAATTGATATGACATGGTTACAAAAGGAACAGACTATATTCAATAGTTCGAATTGTATTATACTTAGTAATGGAGATGATCATTATTTTTGGTTAGGAAAACATCAATCATACAAGAACTTGAAGTGTGTAAAGTGAAATATAGTCTCTTTAAAGTCAATAAAAAGTTCCTTTTCTTGTTCATGAATAAAATTTAATATGTTGATGAAGTGTGGATAGGACTGGTGTGGGTGTGGGTGTCGACTGGGATCGGAATAAGTAGAAAATAAACATCCACACCCATACCCACCAAACGGTAATATGATAGCATAAGAATCATTGAAATAAACTGTAGCATAGTCTGTCTCATATGACTCAATCCGGAAGCATTTCGATACGATGGTTGCGATATGTGTAAAACTGCATAAAAACGACGTGAAGACAATCTGCAATCAGCTACTATTTATAACGGGTGTCCCAGAAAGAATGAGACTCTCAGCATTTTAAAGATTTCTCGTCTATTATCCGTGTGATTAAAGCCCTTTTTATTATCAAAAGAGAGCGCTTGAAATTCTCTACATAACCATATAAGACTAGGCCCACAGACAGTTTTAGATGTATTTGAAAAAAGACTAAAACTAAATACATACAAACAGCTGCAAAAAGTAAATAAGGGGTGCTCGATAATAAATGGCCGTACTTTGCATTTCATATTTTAATCTCTAAATACGTTTTATTAAAAAACAAAATATATTACAAGATGCAGCGTGAAAAGCTCTACAATCTAAACTAAAATTGATTTTAATTGTATCCTTTTGTTTTCAAGAAAAAAAGCAAAACTCTGTGCGACTGATGTTTGCCATTGCGAAAACCGATCGCACAAAATTTGGAGTCTTTTTAACATAAAAAGTACAGACATAAGATAAATTGCTGTTTGTAAAGTATAGAGTTTTTCACGCTGCATCCAGTAGTATATTTTTTTAAAGAAAACATACTAGATGATGAAACAATACAATAAGAAAAAGAAACTCGTTCGTGCAAAAAAAACAACTTTTTCACAATGACGAAAGTTGGTCATACAGAGTTTTGCCTTTTTTGAAAACAAAAAGTATATGATTAAAATAAACATTAGTTTGTAGATTGCAGAGCTTTCCACGTTGTGTCTAGTAGTATATTTTGTTTTTTTAATAAAATGTATTTAGAGATTAAAATATGAAATGCAAAGTACGGCCATTTATTATCGAACACCCCTTATTTACTTTTTGCAGCTGTTTGTATGTATTTAGTTTTAGTCTTTTTTCAAATATATCTAAAATTGTCTGTGGGTCTAGTCTTATATGGTTATGTAGAGAATTTCAAGCGCTCTCTTTGATAATAAAAAGGGCTTTAATCACACGGATAATAGACGAGCAATCTTTAAAATACTGAGAGGCCCATTCTTTCTGGGACACCCGTTAGTATTCCATGAGCCGCTATGGCTGAATGGTTAAGATGTTCGGCACATATCTACAAGATAGTGTGTTCAAACCTCGGCGCCATCATCCATAGAATAACCGTGGACAAGTTACTAACGGCTGTTTTGTCTCGGACCACCCATCCGATAGCACGCTGATTACATATGACATACATAAAAATATCCTCATGGATAGTATGTGGTTAGTCAGTATGCATGGGAAGCTTAAGTAATTAAGCGGAAGGAACTCTGAGTCAGGCCGGCCTTCTGTCCAGAGCTGCAGCTAGTAATAGTTGTAGGAAAAATATCGGGCTCTTGAAACTGTCTCCGGACAGCACTCTATACTGAAAGGTAGCCGCAAGGCAAGGGTTTCTTTCTTTCTTTTCTTTTCTTTCTAGTATTCCATGTGTGATGTTGTCAACGTATCTCAATCGATTCATATCAAAGCTACCAATAACGTCGATACAGTCAACATGATTCTCGTCTAGTAAAACAGAGTAGTGTTGATTATTGTGCTTTCATTAGCAGCTCTGATTCTTACGCATAGCCGTGCCAGGGCTCCCCGTTCCCGAGGAATGGAACCACTTGACAATTCATTTCTACATGTTTTTGCACACTCTGGAATGTGTAGACATTTTTTCTTCCATTTTGAAGCAAGTAATGATATATTCCTGGGAACTTAAACCCCCTAGACAATTCTTTTCTGTGCATTTTTGAACACGCTGGAGTGTTTAGGCATATGTTTTCTTTCATGTTGAGGTAAGTCACTATGGGTTCCGGGTTCCTGGAAACGGAACCCGAAACTGACAAACCCAACTTGCGCACATGTTCAATGAACAATTGTAAATGGCAGTTTATGAATCGCTGTAAAAACGCTGTATTTCAATCGTTTATTACTATTTATAAGTCATTCCATCCCATCTAAATAAATGCTTCTTTTATTGTATAAGACTCCACCAGATTACACTCAAGAATTTTTAAATATTTGTTTTTTGCGTTTTATATGCCACACTATCCGTGCGCATCGTAAAAGGTACGTAAACGAATATTTTTATTTGAAAAACTTAATCTGAAGACTTTTTCTTTTTCTCCCATACACTTAATTATTCAGGTAAATACTTTTTTTTTATCTTGTCCTTCATACTACGTCAATAATTTTAGCAAGAATCAGTTATATTTGTCAGTGTCGTCGTCGTTTTTCTTATCAAATTCGTTCTGATCCGCAAAAAAAGTGTTATTCATTTCGCTAAATTCATTTCGTGTGACGTCGATTTATTGTCTGCATATCATGTTTCTCCTTTGGCTATTTTGTGCTTTACCCATGACAATAGTCTCTGGGTTAAGCGGTAGTTTATATTTATTTGCTAATGAATCCGTAGATTCTCCTGTTGTCACTACGACATCGGGTAAATTCGCTGGCTTTACTATTCGACAGACAAATGTTTGGGTTGGAATTCCTTTTGCTGCTCCACCTGTTGGCGCATTACGATGGCAAAAGGCTCAACCATATGTTGTGACTGATAGCCAAAACGACGCAATACGAAATGCAACTTATTACAGTCCGTTTTGCCCACAAATTGATCGGGGAGGCGATACTTCAGGCCCATTTAATGAGGATTGCTTATATCTAAATGTCTGGTCACCTACCGCACCATCAACTAAACCAAACGGTTATCCTGTGATGATATGGATTCATGGTGGAGGATTTAAAGAAGGAAGCGCCACGCTAGTAATCTACGATGGACTTAGTTGGACGAATGCCGCTATACAAGAAAATAACCCATTTATTATGGTTAGTATGAACTATCGACTGAATGTGATGGGATTTTTTGCTCAATCGAGCTTATTAGATGAGAATGGACAGACTATTGGAAATCAAGGTATTACTGATCAACGTATGGCAATGAAATGGGTTCGCGATAATATTGCACAATTTGGAGGCGATAAAAATTATATTACTCTTATGGGTGAATCGGCAGGATCTCAATCAGTTTGTATACATTTGATATCACCATTGTCGGCTGGGTTATTCCATGCTAGTATAATGCAAAGCGGACCGTGTGATGCTGTAAGTATGTTGCGTGATAAATCATTTGCATATTCAACAGCAAATAATCTTGCATTATCTTTTGGCTGTAATATGACTAACTCAAGTCAACAACTAGATTGTTTACGAACTGTTAGCAGTACTCGACTAGTAGCTGCTATAGGCAACGTGTCTATTCCACTGTCGACATCATTAGCATTCAAAGATCAAGAGAAAATTGGGGAAGCTTTTCCATTTGGCTTGATCGTTGATGGAGTGGAAATACCTGTTCATCCACTTCAAGCTTTTTTGACGGGACAAGTCAATCAGGTACCTACATTAACAGGAGCAAATCGCGATGAACTTCTTTTACGTGCTTTGTATCAAGAATATTTTTATCCACCGACCAGCACTGAAGATTACTTAACTCGCATTCTTCCAATTGCAGGGTATAATAATCATGATATTAAGACATTGTATGCTCCAAGTCAATTCAATGGTAATTATTCGCAAGCGTTTGTGGCCTTATTTTCTGAAGGTATCTTTGTCTGCAGTGCTCGTCGAATGGCGGGATATATGACTGAACAGCCGACATATTTATACACATTCACTCATGCACCAGAGTCCTTTTTTTTGACACAACCAGCCTTAATCATGTGGCCTGGCGCATATCATGGAGCCGAAATATTTAGTTTGTTTCAAACAGTAGCTGCTACATTTTATGGAAATATGATTTTCAACGCCGATGAAATACCCTTGGCTACATCTCTTCGTCGATATTGGACAAATATGATTACAAAACATCAGCCTAACGATAATATTAGTTTCACATGGCCTCAGTATTCGTCTACCACTGATCGGGTTTTAGTGCTCAATAAAAAGACGACTATTACATCCTTCATTGAAATGTATCCGAACTGCGACCTTATATCAGATGTACAAGCCAAAGTTTACGGCGAATATCTTGGCTTCAATGCTACGTGTACGGTAGGAAACAAATGCTTTATTGTTGATTCCACCACAACCACTAGACAAACATCTACTAGCAATAATCTACGTTGCTGTCAGTTTAAATTGCTCTTTTTGCTTTTTTCATGCATTATACTTTTGTTCTAATCCAGTAAAGTTTTTCAGAAAAAATTGACTAACAGTAAAAAATTACTAATACTAATTAATAGTAAAAAATAGTATAATAGCGTAGTCAGAAGGGTGTGTGCGGGTGTGGATGTGTGTTACAGTGACGTCGCTAGTATACACACTCGGCATATATATGTTATCCTCTATCATCTTCTTTAATCTTCATTTGTCTTTTCTCTTTTCTCTTCTCTTCTCTCTTCTCTTGTCGTTCTCGCTATATATTTCATGTAATATAGAATTAAGGGTATTCTTGTTAAATAAAGTTAACGTACGCGTTGTACGCACACACATACTTCTCTCATTTTAACATTTGACGACCCTGCAAAACAACATTAAGCAATAAAAAAAAAGAAAAATTCAACAACATCCAGCAAGAATCAATCATTACTTAATTCTATCAAGTTATAATTCATAACAAACAGAGCCTCTCGTGAAAAGAGACTTGAATTTTTATTTTTTTGAACAAATAAAATTATTAATTGATATTAAACATTGTCATTCATTTATAGGTGAGAAAATATTTTCTAAGCAATGAAATTATTCATTTAAGGACTATCAGGAATACTTTTGAGTAAACTCTATAATTTTCAAACAAGAAACTAATATTGCAAAATTTTTTTTGGATATCAAATTCTACATTGAGAGGAGGAAAAATCAACCTAAGAGAAATCAAATAACTTTCTTGGGATAAACAATTGTAAACAGAGATTCTAAGAAGAATTTCGTTCATGTTTTTTTGCATTATATCGATTCATACATTGATCCATTTTCATTGACAATAACCATTTCTCATATAATATAATCATAACGGCTACGGGAACAAGATCAGAAATCAAGAAAAATAATACAAAGCCATTACCGTACACAATAATCATCTATCATTCAACACGTCAAAAAATCAACATTATATCGTCAAGTTACGACCGACGTGTTACTTCCAATATTCGAACGCAATTATTCATAACAGGACCTCTTACATAGAGATTCGTTTAACAAAATATGTCAAACTAATGGAATAATTAACTATTGTTAGATTTACTTTACATAATATGATTTAGCATACCATGATCGGGGAGCATGAATTCCCCTCACCCACTGATTATGAAGGACTATTGTATTTAATTTGGAAAATATTTAATTATTATTATTACTCTGTTATACGGGATTTTATTTATTGATTAAATATATTAATTGATTAATTCTGTCAGATTCTTACAGCAGCAATGAAAATCGAAATAGAAGATGAAATTTCTTATCACTTATATTGACATATCCTACAATGAATAATTATACATATAGATATATATGCACAATATAAATCGAATAAAATTTTTCTTCGCACTACCTCACTGAAATAATTAGCCATAGATTCATATCCTAATAGAATTGTTTAACATTAATTTCAGATTCACTATTTAGTGAATCGGTAAATATCCAAAATAATTTTTTTCTCTATTGTAGTTATGTTATCTCCAGCGGAATATAATAAAATCGCATGGCAACTAGAAAATATAACAGCAATAGTTACAGGTAGACCGCGACAAAACCTTCTCAATAAATTAAAAAAGAAACTTTATGAACATGAATTTGCATCTCGTTTTCCGCCATTTCAACTCTATCATTATCGACAATATTTGATTAGTTATAACACCAGCGAACAAATATTACAACATCTTATTGAAGCTGTAAAAAATTCAGCATCGTTTACTTTAGATACAGAATCAGTGTGTATTCCCTACCGATAAAATAAACCCGCACTTATTCAATTACAAGTCATACAAGAAAATTTATTTTCATATAATATACTTATAGAAGTTTACCATTTACCACATGAAAATACAGAAAAATTTGAATTAATTCGATAATTATTCGGTTATTTATTCGATCTGAACAATGATATATACGTATGGGGATCAATCGATGAATTAGAAAAATTTATGGAATTTCATTTATTCTCATCCAATCAAATTTATCGATCGAATAATATTAATTCTCAAGATGATTTTAAAAATTATTGGTACGATCATCATCCTCATCAATTAATATTATCGTCAACTACCAATGATACATCATGTACTTGTGAAACATGTCTTGGTATTCAATTAAATAATCCTTGGTCATTGCAAGATGCAGTAGGATATTCAAGTTATTAAACCTTCAAAAGGTTTCGAAGGTCCATACCATAACTCTTAGGGTTTAATAAGGTACCACCAAGCATTAAAGGTTCCATACAACACCTTCATTTTTTTCAGTGTAGGCATCAGATACGTGCACAGGGCAAATTTTTCTCCGGTCCTGCCCTGTTTTGTCCTGTTTACTTATTCCACTTTGGTAGATGATAGAAGTGCCAATGTGCCAGTCCTTATTTTGACTTTCAACGATCAAAGTGCACAAGACTACTAGTTATCCTGTAGCTAAATTGTGTAATATAATTTTTCAAAACAATAATTCCACTGTCATTAATCATTTATAACTATTATAGATACAACAAACTATTGCATAATCGTGATTTGTTAATTCGTTCCTGAAAATCCGAAGTTTTCCTGGATAAAGAAAAGTAGCCGATTACGAAAAGGTGGATTACGGATCCTCATCATGCTTTTATTTAAGCTAAAAAATGTCGACGTGTTCTTGCTGTTGAATTACAGGGTCTACATTGGAAGGGGTGCTTGCTTGATCGTATAGAAAAAGAGAAAAAGAGGAAATGTTAATGTAAAATGTGGCTTGGAGTAGAACCTATGATCTTAACAGTTCACTGACATTTTTAATCAGCTTACATGCTTTCTTATCCACATATTTGATATACAAAAAATTCCTCATATTTCATAAAAATATCCAGAAAAATAACTTCTCTTCGATATATTATATCTCTAGAGGAAAACATTCGTTCTTGGTAAAAGTTCTAGAGCATTATAAGTAAATTAACTTCAGGTCTATTGGTGGTCAAATCTCAAACACAATCATCTTGCTTTCGATTTCTTAATTTGCCTAAGTATTCAATCTGAATATTTCTTGCTAGAAACATTATCCTGATAATGGCATCACGTATCAGTAGACCGCTTAAGAATTCATCGACTCGTTCCATCAGATATCTCAATGATGCACTTAGCAACATCGCTTAAAAAAGGTCAAAAATTCATGTCGTGGTTATGAATAAACACAATTTTCACTGGAAAAATTGCGCTTCTAAATTCATGAGTTTTGAAAGATTTAATGTTTTGATTGCTCGTCACTAAAAAACAATCTTTCTCTCTCTCTCTGTATAATCGATGAGTTTATCCTGGTTCAAAAGAAAACTGATTTTTTTTTCGTATACAACCTTATGCAGATTTTACGGCAATTAAGATACAACCCTCAAAAAGAAACACTAGACTCTTATTTGTTAATAACCCGTTTATGAGAGGAAAGGAAGATTTTTAAAATTTGAATGGATTAGCTTCAAGGTGAGCACAGGGCAACTTTTTTCTGTCCTGCTCGAGAATCCCGTCCTGGCGGGCAGCAGGATAGAACCAAATTTGAAATTGCATTCTGTCCTGGAGGACAGGACAGGACAGGGCAGGACACCAGAATAGCAGGACCGTTCTGTCCTGTGCACCTCTCTGGTAGGCATGGATCGAATGAGATTATTTTTTCGAAGATAAACTAACGCCTCGCACACAATTAGCACATGAAAAAACATCCAAAGATGAATAAACGGGAAAGTCGTCTTTGATTTCGATGTAAACGAAAAAAGGGCTTATGAGTTTGCAGCGGTGCATAAACTCTTTTTCTGTATATCATGAAGATGACGAACGATTTATCCGTGTATGATTTGGAAAAATATTTATTGAGTATCTCAAAAAAGGAAAAAAGACTTGTTATCTATTGCTAACTCATAAACGCTTATCTTTTACAGTGCACGCAGACAGTATATTTGGCTTTATCTCACGAGTAACTTTATTTGCTTTTGTTGATGTCATCCATGCTGAAATCGGTCGTTAGTTTGATGACGATGAAAAAATTTATGACCTTAAACAATAAAGTAGCAGCCTTCCATTATATACCATTCGCCATATGTTATTTACTACCTTCTCATATTTCTTTTTATCACTACAGAATTCATCTCATTGTTGTGAAAAGCATTGATCTAAGAAACAAAATTAAGTTGTAAAACAACAACAATAGCGAACGAACGGAAAAATCAACCGAATCGAACTGAACTCGAATCAGTAAGATTCAGTTTGATTCAATCTCTGATTCCTAATAATAATATATTCACCAAGTATAGTATCGACTACCTGCTCAAGAGTGAGCCTCTGAGAAAATCAGACGTTTGTAGTACAACGTTGGCAGTTGATCATTTTAGATTTGGCTGATTTTTAATATGCTATAGCTAGGGTAGCCAATATTCTTTCGTGAAAGTTTCAGCGAAATAGCTTGTATCGGTCAGATGTGAACATCATGGTATTGGTGGCAATTTTTATTCATATTTTCCACCGAGATATTTTCTCATCATATTGTAGCGCATGGATGTTAATCAAGCATATTGTTTCAATCGTTGAAAACATATTGCAAAATGAGAACAAATAGTTAGCATAATTGCGATGGACACCACAAGTTATGACTTCTTTTGTGACCAACTCCGATAATAAATAGTCGTGGCTGCTATTTTCATTTTTTTGTTTCTTTACTTACTTAACAGCATACTATGCTACTCGTGCCATCACATTTGCATCCAAACTTTTCTTTGACACAATTGCTTTTAGGCTTATCATCGAACAACAGAACATAAAAGAAAAATACGTTATGTTTATTTGTTCTCTACTGCCTTAGCTATGCTTTCACATTCTTATTCCCTCGCATCGTAAAAAAGTACTCAAACATTCAGGTAACTTTCACATTATCATCACTACTTGTATTTTAAAAAATAATAAAAATGGGTTGTTCAAATAGCAGTATCGTTCACCCTTCCGCAGTGAAACAACGTTCGACGACATTATCCTTGATTAAGTCATCGTCGTCAAAAGAAGGTAGAACGAAAAAGACTATCTTTCGCCTACAAAAGTGTTAGGATTTTGCACGAATACTATTCAAACAGCTTGATTAAGGCGAAATGGGTAAGAAAAAAAAATGCAAATAACGATGTGAAATGGTTGCAGATTCATTCCATAAAATGATTTTTTGGTAGTTATGAAAGCGACTAATTCATCACACATAGAATTGTTTCCGTTACCACAATTTTACGCATTTCTTACAAATCATTCGAAGGCATTCTCCTATGATCGTTTCGTGTCGTTATTCTTATTTTTTAAATAATTATTTGCGTATATATTTTATTCTTCTCAATACCTCATTGTCTCCGACTCTTACTATCTTCCACTTCTCTTTTCGTGTACCGCCCTGCCTCTCCCGCCAGAGTAAAAACCGATCGATCTTTCATATCGCGATCGTTTCGCGACATTCCTGGTTCAGGTATGGATATGAATATTCACTTCAAGCATGCTCACGTTCAGACCCATATGATCACACCCTCTATATACGTCTCAGTTATCTACGGCAATAGACTAAAGTACTTCTTATATTGCTGTCTAGGAGTAAAAGAAAGTACATGAAATGTTTTGTAAGAGTGGAAATAAAAAATCCAATATTCGATTAAGTGAACCAGTCGTTAAAAATGAAAAACTATCAAGGGAAATTAAATTGTCAATAGTTGACATCTTGTTTTCTGATGTTAAGATAGATCACAAAGTTTCATTTTAATGGAACAAAATAGAGAATTTGTAACGTGCTTTATTACTAACAGCGTAAAGCTCACACAAGCTCTTACTCCCGCTAGAGTTCTACATAGTTTCAACCATCTCAAACTACATAGAACCACAGCACAAAAAAAGCAATAGGCAGATATACTCAGTATTGTTCTTTCATTGCAATACAAAAGAACACAGATTGGTCGCATATCACCGCTTCACTGAGGCGAGCCTCCATTAATGAATAAAAACGCATTGAGAACAAGATGACATCTTTGGAAATTTACAGCGCTAGTTGAGCTTTAGCCCAATAAGGCAAAGCTAATTTAATGGGTATGCATGAGTATTAAGACTTCCGCTACTCAATACCAACACTAATACCATTACTATAGTTTTGTTTTGATATTTGACAGCTCTAATAGGACATTTCGACTAAAGTTATTGATAGATGCTGTATAACCTTGTACATGTGAAAATAAAAGTAGTCGATGTATCTCTAAATATGTAGCGAGAATTAATCGATCTTTCTTCGGCAGTTGTGAAGCAATATGAATATCACATTAGATGATTGTTTGTTAAGCGAAATACTGAAATCTTTTATTCACATTGGTATTGAATTAGCTTCTTATTGTTATTCGTTTTGGTATCAGGTGTCTGTATATTTTGAATGTAGAAATGAACGAAGAGAAAAGTGACTTCTGTCAACAATGAAAACTATGATTGATATTGCCATTCGATTTTTTAGCATCAGAATCACAAACGGCAGCACAACTTGAATTCACGTCTACAAACAATTTCACGGGATCTACACCAACTATGGACCGAGGCGAATGGCATCAAACAGAAATCACTGAATCAAAGAAACATGAGAAATACTACACACCCAATACATTAGGAATACAACAAAACATTAGGTGAGCCATCGAAATCCTTCTACTCATTGCACAATTTCAATAAAAATAGCCTTGATGGGTTATAGTTGCAATAAGAGTATCGAAAAAAAACTTATTCAGTTGACACATTGAGTACTTTCAATGTGTAAAAGCTAATTTACTAAAATTTTTATGAAAGTTCTATTCATTCAGGAAAATATTTGATTGTGGAAATATAGCAAATTGATTATATTTTAAAATATAACAGTAGAAAATCGCAGAACTCTTGATTTTGTCTGACGAGAATTATTCAATCGCTTCACTTTTTTCAATAGTGAGAAATGTTTTCTCGATTTTTATTTCTATTTTCAATAGACTGACCACCAGTTTCGAAGATTTATCGAATGAGATTCTCTACGAAATTTTTGATTTTCTCGACGGCTACAATATATACGAAACATTTTCGAAGCTCAATGCTCGTTTTGAATGCCTCATTACAAACTCATCTCATCTTCTCAAGTTCAATTTCTCTATTGTGTCAAAAACGACTTTTGCACATCGTTTAGCTCATATCGTAATTCCAAATACACATCGGATCGTTTCACTTTCTTTATCAAATCCTTTTATAATCGATTACTTTCTTGATTTATGCTCCATCGATTTCTCATTCATTCGCCTCGAAGCATTATCACTTCATGGCATTGAGTCGCAGCGACTTGTATACCTTTTAACTACTTTAACTTCAGCACCTTGTCTTCACTCTCTATCTCTCACAGTTCTTGATGCGATTTCCGATCTCGATTGTGTCTATCGTCTAATTCTACGTCGATCTGCGTTGAAATATGCAAAGTTATCTTTCGAACAAGGCGGTCAAAATTCACTGGCGATTCGTACCGCGAACGAACAGGAACCAACTAGTAATATCGAATATCTTATCATTGATAATTTTGTTGATGGTGATGACTTAATTGCTCTTCTCTCGTATACACCTAAACTTCGCCGTTTGTCGTGCTTTAATGATCTATTCATACGTCTCAAACAGCCTAAATTATCATTCGTATCGCCTAGCTTGACACATGTCAATTTGTATACGACGGATGAGTTCGACTACTTTGAAACATTTCTATTAAATATTTGTTTTCATTTACAAGTGTTACGTGTCTCCCATCACGGCATGATGGATATTTTGGACGCAAATCGATGGCAACAAATGATAGAAAATTCGATGTCACACTTGAAGAGGTTTGAACTCCTAAGTGACACGGACCTCGGCGATGACGATAGCTATCAAGATTATTACCATACTTTAATAGAAAAATTTACAGCGCCATTTTGGGTTGAGCGACAATGGTTTTTTGCGCATCAACATTACCGTAAATTCGGTGTTCGTGCAATCTTTTATTCCATTGGATCCTTCAGGTTTGTTGATAAAGAATTTGCCAGCTTCTTTTAGACTTTATTCGTCTCAGGTGGAATCACTACGAGCTACGAGAACTTCAGGATAACGATATCTGTCCACGCAATGATAATCACTTGAATTTGGCTCGTGTGGTCACGATCGAAGGTAATCGTGCGGCTGCTCATTGTTCAATTAAATTTCCACGTGCTACCGAATTAGCTCTGACATTATGTGGTGATGGTGAGCATCTATCTTCCATTGGCGACCTCAGTCGTATGATACCTTTGGAGCAGCTCACTCGAATAGGCTTTTATTGGGAACATGTTGGTATTACTCACCTGCTTGAACTATTACATCTCACATCCAATGTTCATTCGTTATCGCTATTATCAGATCAATGGTTTGGTGGTATCGGGAGGAACTTTGTTACAGAACACAATATAATTGGTAACAACAAGATCAGAAAAGTGTCCGTTGACACCGAAGATCTTGACCTGACACTGGAAGAAATTCAACTACTCATGAGAATGTGCCCATGTGTGCAATATCTTGACTTAAGAATTGAAAAAGAACAATGTGTATCAATTGTTGAGTTTCTTCTGTTAAGAAATGCTGCCAATAACAATCATATTCCTATCACGTTGATGAGCTTCCGACCAGTTTTTTATGAAATGGATCAAGAAGTACGATCAATGATAGATCGTGATCAGCGTTTCTGCAACTATTCCATCAAAAATGATCGCAGAAAAATGTACTTGTGGTGTTAACTTAGGAACTGATATCATTTTGAGTTTTTTTTCAATATATTCATGATAATATCAGCACTATAATAAAATGCATGCAATCAGATCAATCCGTTTCAATGATTGTTGTTGTAAGAAATTCGATAGCAAGTGACATGTATGCCGCATGAATGAAACGTGAATAAGCTGAATGAAGGTATGGTTTGCTTATGCCCACATAGATTTTGTTCAAGATCGATCGAATATAAATCAGATAGGTAACATCGATAAGGGCGAGTGGATTTAGCATCCAATGTACATATTTGATATGAGTATGACAACCGATGAAGAATACTCACACCAGCATCCGCATTCAACTTGTGACAACAAATTTGAGAAGTTTATGTGCAGAGAAACAGATGAGAAAGCTAATGCATTGCACGGAAAAGCTTCCATTTTTGCATATGACGTCTTTCTGCATCAATATCTGCTACATACTCGGCTGTGACTCTGATACTTCAATGTTCCCACCAACAGTATATTTAATCGAATGTATATGTACAGTTAAAGAATCTTTGTTTTCATTAGTATGATGTACTACCCTACTTACTAGTATTATTGAACCATTCTAATTTTATTGGTATCATTTGCTTGTTTACGTACACATTTTGAATTTGCCAAAGAATAAGACAAATATATTTAATAATACTCATCCGCATTTTCTATATAGCGAGCGTTAGAATGACTCTTCTTGGTGATCAAAAACATGTCACAATAGTATCGCTACTGACTTTTCCACAGAGGAATCCGCATATGATTGTCGACAATAGAACGACATGACGAGAGAACGAGTGTGTTGGATAATCATAATCTCAGCATTCTATTTCTGGAGCATGAGTGTCAAACTTGAAACTTGAATTCAATAATACAACTATTGACGCAGGTGGGTGTGGGTGATGGGTTTTGCTGTAAGTGGGTTTGGGCGCTCATCCTAACTTTTTTCACACCCACACCTTCAAGGTGCGTTCTTCTGCAAAACTTCGTGCCATCTTCAGTTGATAAATACCTGAAAATAGTAAAGAATGAACTTTTCACAGAATAATTTTATACCTAAGGACAAGACAGGAAATGGTCTAGCTAAATTGTCATTGTCTTGTAAAGCTCCTATCATGCGAATGTGAAAGCAGTTGGTGAGTACTGCTATGATGACTGTCAAATCAGAAACGGATGACAAGGAAGCGTTTTGAATTTTTTTAACAAAACCATCTGAACCCTTTTTAATCTTTCATTAACACCCCGGTTCTCAACATCATCCATCCAGTAATTAGTCTTTTCATCTTCGTCAACGATATCGTTAGCAACTGGAATCAACAGTTTATTGCGATCATCTAGTCACTCTCCTTTCCCTACATTCTTCTCTTTTTTCACTCTGTTTCTCATCTTCATTGTTAGTCATAGGTACTGAATCCTTTTCAATTAAAAGTAAACACGCTATCCAGTTCGTACACATATAACAATAGTAAGCGAGAGCTATATAAAGTAGGCAACACTCTACACTGATAGAGCATACATTCAATGCCACTGGAGGTGAGGCGTAGTGATTTTGTAAGACCCTGTATATCCCTATTAGGCTTCATGCAAATTTCGTGCCTTTTTTCCATTGATAGCTTAAATATCGTTCTGTTAAAATACATATCGAACATCTGTTGACGACTTAATAGGGCAAAAATAGAAAATGAATGAACAGAGGGTCAACAATTGTGGGACGCACTTTCTTAAGGAAAAAATGATAAATAAAGATAACGGATGAGTCAGTTGAAAAGTTTAATCTCATTGGGCCGAATTATTAATCGTAATTGGAACCATCGCTTTCATTTGAGTCTTATAGTCATCGATTAGAAAGGCTATTTTAGAACCGAACATACCGCGTGTATTAATCAATCTTTGCGGACAACAACCAGGAAAAAAATCTCCCAGTATTACGGTCATAGACGCGAAGGCACTCAATGCTGTCACGTCTTTTATATAGACGGACGTATCATCATAAATTGGACTGCAACAACAACTGCAAACAAAAACACAAACACCATATTTTTGTCGGCGAAACAAGATTCAATTGTTGGTAACCGTGATATTATTAGAACCACAACATGAACCGCAATATTGAGATCCTTCCCATGCATGTAACACTTGTTCGTTGGCAAGTAAGTTGAGTGTGCTATTTAAGCGTGAAGATGTATGTTGGTTGCTGACAATGGTAGAATTCATGGTTCTATAAAGAACAGAAATCACACTAAATCTTCATCTTGAATATTGAAAAGGCAATAAGCTCTATATTACACCTCATAACGCTAAGTCTATTCCTAGAGTTAGTTTTACTTTAACTTTTTCTTTTCTACATTTATATTCGAACTCGAATTAGAAAGGTACTCGAATATTCCCAAAAAACGTTACTCACCGCAGTCAAGCGACATAAACGAAAATGTCCTAGGAATTTGCAGTGTGCAATTGTAAATAAGAATTTTTGTGACTTACCTCGTTCAGTTTACTTTTCAAATGAATCGCTGTTCAAAAATATTTTCTGTTCTATTTCACCGCCTTATGTTTCGATTGCTTTTTTTGATCAAATCCTTTTAAATATGAGTGCTAGTGAAAAGGCTTGTACATAGAAGCAGTACAAACCAGAGGTCAAAACAGACCGCGCCTTCGAGGCCTGTGGGTCTGTCAACGTTTTTGAAGCTAATACAATAATGATGAGAGACTAGAAACTAGAGGTACATACAGAGCACGGAATGTACTTTTATACCTGGAGATAACCGACCTGTCATAGGCATAGACCCCGATTTTCTGAGCAGTGAAACTGGCAGACTCAGACAGGCCAACAGGCCAAAAATTGCTTGAACCTCTAATAAGTACTGATCCGAAAATCGGGGTCTATGCCTATGACAGATCGGTTATCTCCAGGTATAAAAGTACACTCCGTGCTCTGTATGTACCTCTAGTTTCTAGTCTCTCATCATTATTGTATTAGCCTAAAAAACGTTGATAGACCCACAGGCCTCAAAGATGCGGCCTGTTTTGGCCTCTAGTACTAACATTCAAGAAACAGTAGGCAAAACACGATGGCAAAAAAAAGAAAAAAAAACTATACTACTTCAATCAATTCACGTTGAATGCAGTAAACTCGTCGATATTATATGTTTTCAATTTTATGTAAAGAAAAAAAACAGATTCTAAAATCACCTGAAATAAATCAATGCGTATCATTCATGTTGAATATGATCATATTACAGCAACAGTAATTGGCGTTACCAACATTCACCAGTGCACTCTTTGTTGATGGAAAATTCGTTCTCAATAGAAATAATAATAGTTTTCTTTTTGGTAGATTACTATATAGATGAATACTAAGTCATAAACTCGACCTAAACAATTTATATCAATTTTCATAGTGAGAAAATCATTCAAAAAACAAAACACATTCCTATTTGTAATATATTTAATGAAGTTTTTATATGTCTAGAAAAAAGAATGAGTTCGTTTTTGTATTCAGCATTATTGTAATTTTGTCAGATACCATTTATTTGTACTCATAATTATGGAATCTTATTGAATTGAGTTTTTGGTGTTATTTAACAGCGACTTTGAGGGCGAAAATTAATTTTCCGGATGTCTCTGACGTAATAGATTGATTCACGCAGCATTTGTTTATCTCATTAGTTTCTAATTAGGTTTTCTAAATAAAATTCCTATAATATCCCAAAAATCGGTTATGATCAAACAAAATTTACATGGGCAATGCCACAACTTGAATTGATTCGAGAGTAACTTTAAATTGAATTGACAAAAAATTGATGATATGATTTTATCAGTCATTAAACGAATCACTACAGAAGAAGTTTGCTTTAACTATTCTTTAATAAAAGAAAATGATAATGGATTAAATCTATCAGAAAATAACGATACTCCTATTCCAGAAAGAAATTCCTCGAGAAAATGAAAACGAACAAAATTAATGAATTGATGTATTAGATATTGTTAAAAAACGAACAGAACTATCGCTCCTTCTATTATATCAGATGAAGAAAACTTTTCATAATTAGTTTTTTTAATATTCAAAAAAAGATTTATTTTTTGTAAATACCGAGAAACAAATAAACTATACTTATTTGCTTCCTTTTACTCTTTTTTGTTTTTGTCAACTTTAATAGTATCTTAAAAGCAATTAATCTCATTTGTTTATTGAATTGAATTATTTAACGAACAATGACAAGTATTTGGCATGATAAAAGTAAACAACAAACATATTTTGATAGATCAACTTGATCATGAAACGCAAGATCTTCTTCCACTTTAGAACAATTGATTCGTGTTGCGTCTCTTGTGAAATTGTGTGTAACACGTTTTCGTATCAAGTAAAACTTGCTCAGCATAATCATCATGAATGCGGAGAAGATGGAGTCTAATAAGGTGAGGATATTCGATAATTGGAAAATCTTGATTATCGTCATTTGACTCTTGATGTTGTTTGCCATTTTGTGACTGCCAGTTACGTACAGTCAAGTATTTCAAAAATGGAACTGCTTGAGAAATTCGCATGAAAAATATATGTTCAAAAGGACTTTCATCAAATAATCTTATAGTTTGAACACATTTAAATAATTCACCTGAAAAATTATTGGTAAGATTATCATAATGTATCATTGTATATGGATATGTGTAAATATGACAATGACCAATCTTATCATTTGAAAAATAGTCGACACAAGAAATAATTTGATGGTTTGTGAAACCTGTTAATGTACGCTGAATATTTTCATTTGATCGTAAATACATTTGATTGTCCAGTGAAATGGTTGAGCGAATATTAAATACGAAATCGTTTTAATTTAGGCATGTGACTACTAATATTCTTTTTCAAGGCATTACCATCGATAGATGTTTCTTGACATCCGATCAGAATATATAAAATCAGCTTTTCGAGATTCGACATTCGTTGCAGATGTGGTACGATCACTTCATCATAAACACATGCTTCATTATTACAGGTCAGCAAAAAATCTTTCAAATTAAACAGTTCTTTCTACAATAATAAGAGTGTGGGTGTGGGTGGGATTCTTCTGCTCATCTACACTACAGCCACGGCCACAGCCACACCCTCAACCATATTTATATGAATGCTCTCATTATTGACTAACAATATTGAATACAATCTCTTTAATAATAAAAAATAAATAAAATAAATATATTCTGTCAATTAATCATTTCTTTTATTTACTTAATATGATGGTTCAAGACGAAAGATATAAGAATCGAAAATTTTCATATTATATTCACAAACCCAGAAAGATCATTCCAGCCACCGGAAACGGCCTGAAATGGTTATAAAAGGGCCATCACTTTGAACAATATTCTCTTCGTTTTCCGAGCTGACGGAAAATGGCGGTATTTTTTAACATTTTACATAGTTTTTCTGCCGTTTCAGGCCGTTTACGGACCGTTTTCTTCCACCTGGGAATCATTTAAATTTTGAATTTTCATATTTTTTTGTTGTCTTTTAATAATGAGAATTTTTTTAATATTGATAATTCATACAAATTTCAATGTGAGATTACATTTATTTTCAGCACCATTTTATTTATTTTTGAATATCAATTCTTTCATTTTGTTCTTTCACAATAAATAATAATTGTTCATCTTGTTTCTTCATAAATGCATCGAATTTTTTTATCATTAATTGTAACTGAAAAAGAAAATTTTATATTGGAAAGTATCTGACATAGAAAACTTATAAAAGTATTAATAGAGAAATATAATATTTACCATTCCAACTTGCTCTTTTGCATCGTTTTCGATTATTTCAAGATTAGACATACTAACAAAACTAGAAGCCTATATTATCTAGTATTTGATGAAAATTATCTCTATTCTTATTTAATATATATATGTGTATATGATTTGTTTATTTTTCAACAGTTATTTATATATCTGCTATAGACGGACGGTGTCGATGTCTATGCATACATGTGAACGAGAAAAATTCATATTCATTGTAAGCTTGAAAATAATAAACAATATTTCTTATATGTCTGAATAAGAAGAATGAATGAAAAGAGAAAATCACTATTGTTCTAGCTAACAACAAGCTTTTAGAAATAGAATGATAAATAATAAAATACAAGGTGATCTACAATTGTATTTTGTTGTCTTAAAGAATCGTCGAATATTTTTAAATAATTTTAAATAGAATAAAAATCTTTAGATTGTCAATATTGACATCAACAAAGAAAAACTATTCAATAGAATTTATTCGAAGAAAGTTTTTATTTCATTTGTCATTTTAAATAAATAAAACCATCTTACTAACTTTTAACTATTATTAGAATTTGATTGAATTGGTGTTAATTCTAATTGATTTTTATTAATATTATCATTTATTTGTTTATTGTCATTGTCGATAATATTTGTTGGTTGATTTGACTCTTTATCTAATAACAAATAATTGATTATCGAGAAAAAAACAGCGACACTTACATAAAATAGTATGGGGTTTGGGTGTGGGTGCGAGTGCCTGGGCGTGGGTTTATTCTTCGTGCATGCCGATGCTCACACCCACCCACACCCGCACTCTTACCCTGAACCACTCGATTTCTTAACAAAACGCAGCACATTTTAACTTAGTACGTGTTGTAACCTAAATAACAGCGTATTAAGAATCAGCAAACACAGCTCGGCAAATCATTGTCACAATGATCTAGGCTGTCAGTGAAAAAATGCAACACATTCTATTAAAGTATCCGCCCACCGATACGTTTTGTTCATATTCCTCAACAGAAACTAATGAGATAAATACATTTCTATATGTTCGAGGGAGATCAATGATATCAATAGGTTTGCTGGATTGTGATACTTGCATTTTAGCAATGAGATCCAACATTTTAAGATCTGGAATAGATACCGAAACTGGTTATTTTTGCTAGATTCACATTTTATTTTTCACCGTGGTTTCAATTCTATATGATGAATTCACTGTGAGTTTGGACATAGATTGCCACAGAGTTAACTTTAGTCTCGCCCTCATCCCACCGTACTTTGTTTCACAGAGTGGCTCATTTAATTTACTGTATAGATTGTCTCGTTCAACTATTGACCGTATGGAGAGAGAAAAAGAATCTCGTCAGAGAAATGTCAGTAGTAAGTAAGCAACAAGTAACACTGGGAAAAAAATAGCATCACACGGAGCCATTTTTGAAACTAATTCAAGACCCCAAAAAAGTTTCGTAAAAGCCCAAGATTGTCTCAAAATTATTATCAAGAGCCCAGGAAACTTTTTGGAAGGTTTTGTGGAAAACCTACGAAACCTAAAAAAGGTTCAGAATGCGTTTCAAAGTGCGAAACCATTTTAAAGTTCAGTGAGAAAATTCGAAACTTTCTTGGTTCCGTGTAGTGTTATTCTTTTTTTCAGTGTAGTCGTTTCAACGGCGATATGTAGCTAAAGTAAAATGATGGTGCGTATGTAGCAATGGCTTTTTGGCACAGTCCAGACAGAGATCATAGCCCGTGAAAGGAGTTGTGCTTGTCGAGGTCAATTGTGTATCTCCATATTTCACTATTGTGGTGCTTGTCACCTCTATTTCTCGAACCTTGCGATCATTACTTCCAGGAAGCACAAAACCACTGCACTCCATGCATCGAAATCCCATGTCACCATCGTTGAACTTGCATTCACATCCATCGCAGATTGCTTCTCTGATTGAAGTAAAACCCACGCGATGTAAGAACTGGCTGAGAATACGTTGATCCATGCTCTATTAATCTATCGAACCACAGCAAATGTGTGTCAATCTCGCACTTGCTGCCTCTAAAAACGAAGAAAAGTAAAGATAAGAACGAATGACTTGCAAAATTAGTTAAAATGTGTTCATAAATAGTGGGTAAAATGGGCGAGTTTTTTGGGCTGAGCAAAATGATACGTAAAAACGTAAAAGAAAAATAAAGAATCAAATGCAATTGTTCAAATAAAAATTCATAAGAATCAGTTCTCAGTAGGGGTGTTACTTTATATTTACTTTACTTTTTAAAGATAAATAAAACCTTTATATTTAAAAAATAAAGATAAATGAAATCTTTATCTTTATAAAATAAAGAAAAATAAAAAGTAGCTTTATCTTTATTTAATAACAATAAAATAAAAAATAAAGAAAAATATTTTTCCTTAAAAACCTAAAATTTCGTCTTCTCCCGATAGCTCGAAGAAAATTAAGAAGTTCAAAGCTAACAAATTTTGAACACTAGATTTTTTTCCATAAATGATTTATGCCTCACCCTCATTTGCTAGTATTATTTCATACTGCAATGTCAGTGATGATAAGCAAGAACTACAATCAATGTTTTCTGTTGTTATACAAATTATTCATCTATTTACCAGTGACTGTAGAAAATCTTTCATTTTTCTTTATTTTAACTTTCTTTTTACAAATAAAGATTATCTTTATCTTTATTTTATAAATATAAAGATTTCATTTATCTTTATTTTTTAAAGAATAAGGATTTCATAAATTCTTTATTTTTTATTTTATAAATATAAAGGTTTTATTTATCTTTATTCTTTAATACAAGTAACGCGTCGGCTTCATGAGCCTCGCTTAACTCAATCCTGAAAGTGCACGATAGAGGCAATATGATCATACTCTAAAAAACAAAATGATACCGTAGATGGTAGCAGTATAACTAGGATTTGAGGCTCGGATTAGAGTTGCCCGTACGCTTTCTAAAGATACACAAATGTAGCGTTATTTTTGTGGAACTCACATATCTTTCGACAAAAATAGTGAGTGTGGGTTTGATGTCGAGGTTTTCTGACCACCCGCCCACGCCCTACACATTCCACGTTCAAATTGAATAAGAATCAGCTTAATGATTCCGATCTCACCCTTTGTAAAAAAATAACTCCTGCATATGCTGGTAAAACCACGAATTAGGCAAACCGAATCAGCTCCGCGCCATTCGAGTACCGCACTCTTTCCATTAGAAAAAATCCCTACTGTAGCCTTCTTACTCCAAGTTTTTCAAAACATTAAGTGGATACAGTTTCAACAAAATCACATTCCCTTATGGCATTACATGTCATGTTAATCGATCTATAACGTATATGTACTGCCATCAAGATCACATAGCATACGGGAACGGTACCATTTTCGCGTCACGAAGATATCAAATAATTTTAGAACTCCTTACGAGGGATTCTTTAGAATATGTTCTTCAAATCGTTTGGGAGCGAAAACTATCTATATAATACCGCCACTTTTTAGAAAGAACTTCTGTCTGTCACAGATATAAATGAAATTTTAATGATCTGATCGCTCTACTGACTCGATTCATAATCAACTCGAGGCTTTTCGTAAAAAAAGTAGACCTACAGATCAGACGAGAATATACGAAAAAATATGTTTGAATAAAATTTTTTATTGGGACTGTCACGACGTGGTTCATTAGAAATGGCTATAGTCGCGATGTCATCCTTTTCTCAGGAAAAAAACGTATTACAATCAATTTTTATGCGTCGTTCATTTCCCACCCAATAAATCTTAAGTAGTGAAATTTGACCTTGTTATTTTCGAGTAAAATTTAAGACAATGTGACAAGAACTCTTATGATCTGTTTGAAAAATAAATCACCAGAACATTGTTTCGATGAAAACATTACGAACAAATATATGGAGTACAAAATAGCTCTGAACAAAACGACGCAGTCACACTTGCACCGCTCAGCGGAAGCAGTAGTGATAGAGATTTCTGATAACATTCACCAACTAAAGCAAATCATTTGCACTTGGACCGATCTTGGGTATCTAACAAAAGATTTAAAAGCTGTTTCTTACAGAGGTGATATACGAATATTCTGGACTAATAATTCCCTGTTCAATATAAGAAGCAAGGATATAATTTGTCTGACCGAAAAAAGGTTGTCGTTTAATCGACTAATCTCGGAAGCCAACCTTATTTTGACCTTCGGTCGAAAAACAATATCGAATATTGAGCCAGATGAAGCTAAACATCACACTCGCCCTGCCCATGACTACTCCGAGATTGAAAAAACAATCCAATTTTGCGTGAGTACTAAAACCTTCTTAAGACGGCCTTACTCCACTACAGTTCACCTCATGGTTACACCACTACTAGATCAAGCGATCTTTTTTTCGCATTCTTTTTACCGCAGTCAGGCACTCGATAAAACAATCAAAAAATTTCCTCGCAACGATGTAAAAATGCTTTTCATTCGAAGTTAAGAAAGCCGCTCCTCGTCGGTCGGCGGCGTCCCTTTGGGGCGCCACTCCCGACTCGTCGCTTCTGTGTGCCCTCCTTCCATTTTTGGGGAAAAGCTCACTGAGCCTGTTAAAGCAGTTTCTCACGTCGAATTGCGATCAAAACATAGTGTTTCGGCGTTAATTACAGTTTATGTGCCTGCTTTATAAAAATACTCTGCAAAGGTAGTAACCACAGGTGCAAAGAAAGGTTATTCCGCTCACTTTCTACATTCGATCACATCTGAATGAGCCTCCTTCTGCAAAATATAAAGTTTCTTGATAAACATCTGTCGCAATGCCTTTTTGGCACTCGACCAGTTCTCGATCGTGAGAGCACACTGCTTTCTGAAAGATTGTATAGACAAACTGAACATACAACCAATTTAATGTTGGTGACCGTATTTTTCAGAAAAGCGACAAAGAAGAAACGAATCTCATTAGCGGAATAAAACCAAGAACGCAAGTCAAGGTCCACAAAAATCTGAGAAAAGTATCTCATGCGTGGCAGAAAAATCGGGAATCAATCGTAATCTTGATCCAAACCTTTGCAACGAAAAATAATACGTGGAACCGTATTCATTACGTATAAAGACCTACACTCTGAAAACAGCGTTTCAAGCTATTTAGAAAGAAAGTCAATTTCAAACTTCGCTTTCCTTAACATCTTTCAGTGAGCTTTCGTTCTAAACTTCTCATCAATTGGTCACTCAGACAGAAACGAAAGTTTTAAGGCTAATGGGGCTCACACTCGAACCCCCAATACTGAACTACATACGGGGTGCCATTTTCTGAGAAACTCGATTTCTATTGGTTCCCTGGCCCACCAATAGGGTTGCGAGGCCAATGGGGCTCATATTCGAACTCCCCACCCCGAAATACCTACTGGGAGCCCTTTTCCAGAAAACTCGATTTCTATTGGTTCCCGGACCCACCAATCAGACACCGGACAAACAGACGAATTTCCGTTGTGAAGACTCATCCTTTCAGGATTGAGAATAAAGATCAATAAAGATAAAGTAACACCCCTAGTTCTCAGGGCGCTCCGTCCAAAACTGCCAACTAGACATTGGAATCTCAGTACAATGCTGGGACGCTTACAGCAATTCTTCTAGGTATCTATTTTTCTATTTTTTCTTCTTTGCGTTAGGTTTTAATTGTTTTCTATCTATTGAATGTACTTGAATGATTCCAAAATGGCTTCAAAATCGTAAATATCGGAAGAATCAAAACTTTTTCAAATATTTTTTTTTATAGATGACAACTAATATATAAATTCTATGAATTACGCATTTGCGTCATGTTCCAAGGAAGAACTTAAAAATAAGATTAATATCGATTCAAACGCCATTATTTTTATTTAATTAATATCTGGGTTGTAGTCTTACATTTTTGATTTTTTTCTCATTTGATGATTTTTTTTTCTAGTTTGTTTTATCGAATGAATTTAACTGATGCATCAAAACTGATGAAACTTCAGTAACTGATTAGAAAAATTTTAAAAATTTCAAGTGAGAGAAAATATAAAATTTAAAACAAAAGAAAACAAAATAGAAATAGTGTCATTTCAATTGATTGCAGTCCAACGGAAGAAGAATCGATTTTAATATACGTAGTATTGTAATTTCTACCTCAACTATTACAATTATTCATTATCAGCTATAGAGCTATACATTTTATTCATTTTAAGATCAGTGAATATGAAAATATGGTAATGTGGATGCTCGCTTATATTCTTGTTCACACTACATATGTCATTAGTCAATGAAACCAATGGACACTCAGAAAAATTATTAATGAAAACCTAATGTGAATTTGTACTTTGTACTTAAATACGGTTTACTCAGGTAAATTGTACTAAGTATATTTGTACCTGTACTTCGTGTACTTATAATGGTCCAATCACTGCTGCCGACTGTACCTTATTTAAAAATTTTAAGTAAAGCGTTATAAATTATTCTTTTAATAAAAGAATGAAATGAATTCTATTGCAAAGTACACAGTGAATCCTTCGATTTCGGCGATCTTGAACCACTATCATTTGCGGAAAAGCCTATAACAATCACAATAATTGATAGCTAAACACGAAAGATAATCAAAAATTACGGAAATGATTACTACTAAACTGATGCCCTCTGCAAAAATATTAATGTTCATACTTGGATAAAGCGAACCCTGATTGCTGCAATATCTCACAACCAGAGCTAGGGCGAGTACAAGTACAGCAAGTAAAAGAACTTTACTTGTACTTAATAAAATGGACTTCTACTTTTACTCGTCGTTTCACAAGTATACTTGCTCCTGTACTTGTACTTAGAAAAAAAAATACTTGCTACTTGTACTTACCTTTCAAGTAAAAGTACAAGTACAAGTACTCATCAGGTATACTCGGTACTTGTAACTGTAATTTCAAAAAGGTACTTGCTACTTGTACTTTTACTTGGAACAGTACAAAAAGTACTAATGCAAATACTTTCGCCCGAACTCTGCTCACAACCCTTGAAGAGTCAGAAAGAAAATAGGTAGAAAATGATACAATTACCTCGTCCATGATTGGATAGAAAAAATGTGACAGTTTTACCTGACTCGATATTCAAATCATGCATCTAGGCATTATGGACAGTGATATATAATCCTAGACACATGATATAATCCTCCTTTAATGGTTTCATAAACGGAGTTCGCATCCAATTTCTTACAGTGGCGATATTTTACACTATAAAGTCGTATTTCTGTGTGTGCAGTACGAATTCATGGATTAGAATGAAATATGATCATGCATACGCAGCATCTGTCATGTGAATACGACTAAATGTGGCTATTACGAAGAACGTAAGTGTCAATAAGAGAAAAACAGTATTTTACAGATTGTTTACCACCATAAGCGTTATATAACACGTCACGCATGAATATAGCCAGATACTAAAAGCTTTTAAGAGCTAGAATGTGTTTGCTTTCTAATTTACGTTGACTCAAAATAAAAATAATGTTGAAAACATGGATGCAAAAAAAGCGGTTCAGTCTCATTTCAGATACTTTGTTTGTTTATTAGGCAAATCATTTTTGTGCTAGGTTTTATTGCTATCAATATCAACAGATAGATAACAAATTTTCTGTTTTCTGTTTCTCATTGTGTCACTAGAAACTAATGAAAATTAAGAGCATAATAAAAGAAAATGTGAATATATGGTTCATGTTAAATGTATTGTACTCTTGGGCTCTCATTGTAATCCAAAAGTGCGCAAAACTCATGGAATCCGCGAAGTAATCAGTGTCGGAATCCGACTAGTGACTAGCTGGATACACTTTCACATGTGAGTGCTCAACTAGGGGTGGCACTTTAAACTCAAAATTAAAGTGCCATACTTTAAACTTTAAAGTTAACGTTAAAGTATTCCTACTTTAACTTTGAATTACAGTGAAGTGAAAATAAGGGCATTTTAGACTTTAACTTTAATAACAGTTAAAGTTTAAAGTGTATTTTTCAAAAACTCGTTGCTCCGAAAAAGATTATTTTTGCCATAAAAGAACAATGTTCATATAGAAAAAGCTAGTTTTTAATAAAAAAAATATTTTTTGATGGAAGAAATACTTTTTTTTACGGGAAAATAAAATTTTTATGAAAAATTTACTTTAACTTAAACGAAATGTAAAGCTAAAGTGTAAAGTATGGAATGCTTTAACTTTAACTACTTTCTTAAAGTATTTTAAAGTTAAAGTGCCACCCTTAGTCAACATATGACTTTAAATGAATTCAAGCAAATAAAAGACGATGTTGGTCACTTGATGCCAATAAACAGTTTTCTATCCACGACGAAATGCCGCAATCTAGCAGAAATATGGGCCGGCGATGGTGAAGATCGACCAAAATTGGAATCAGTTATATTCGAGATCATCATTGATGAATCTGAATTTGGAGATATATCGATAGTCTTCGCAGACATTATTGCGGAGAACATCTTCGAAGCAGAAAAAGAAGTATTACTAGCCATGGGCACAACGTTGTATATTGAATCGGTGGAACCTGAAGGCAATGTTTGGAAAATCTGTTTTTGCGCATGTCCATTTGAAGATAGAGTATATCGAAAATTAAAAACTTGGTTCACAAAATACAATGAATCATTAATATTCAATGAGAACATGCCGCGGCCAATGATTGAACAAGCACTTCTCAGTATGGGTGAAATCGAAAAAGCACAAAAAATGACTCAACAGATCGAGCGATTTAAAGATCCGATAGCTAATAGTATGGATACAATACTCAGATCAGGCATAAAACTCCAGAAACCAGAATCAGACAGTACTGAATCTAATGAGCGGATTAGACTATGGGAAAATTTATCTAAAATGAAAGAATCTTTCAAAGCAGTCTAACCATTGATGGGCTTTAATGATAGTTTCTATCTAAATAGGTTGCAGATAGCAGAGAAAATGATTGATTTCAGTATGGAAATGGTTTTGACATCACATTCAAATATCTCCACTTTTCTAAGATTTGTGATGCCTTATTTGGTTAAAGAGAACCAAAACCAAGGGCAATTTTTAGAGAACGATAGAATGCTTTATAATGATTCATCAGGGTGTCCCATGGGGGCGATTAGTATTCCGAGTCGAGAAAATGAGCCACTTGCATTACCAAATTTTGAATAAATATAGTCATTGATCGATCAATTTTTTATTAAGAAGAATCCATGGCACAATAATATACTACGGGGAATCGCTTGGACAGCTGCGCAGGAAAACGATAATGACACAGCTATTCTATGTTTACAAGAGGCTCTCTTGCGTTCATGTGACGATGATCTACGTGCGACAATATGCATACAACTAGCTCTTATCTATATAAAGCAAAAGAACTGGCGAGGAGTTTTCGAAACTTGTGACAAAATTTTTAATATCCCAAAAGTATCGGAAAAATCACCCATGCTTCTTTCGGTACATGACATTTCTGCAAGTCTAATCAGCAGTTTAAAGATAATTGCAATGCATTGGTACACTATAAAAGAGCAGTAGAACTTCGTTGTCAGCACCATTCATCTCATGATTCTAATCTCACTGTAGACAAAATGCGGATTACATTAATTTTCTTAGAATTGAAAGATATGGATGCTGCTTTCAAGGTTTTTGGTGAAGTTATTGAACTTGACCATTCTAAAGATACAATAGTCGCTTATGAATGTATGGGCTTGATCTACCTCTTGAGAGGAGATTATGATATGGCACATTATTATTTTACACAAAGCCTCGAGATGGCACAACATGAGGTTTCTCCAGATATCGGTTTAATTATAAAAAAAACCATCTAAATTTTGCCAGGGTCGAATATATTTTGAAACATTTCGACGAAGCAGATGCTCATATGAACGCAGCTGTAGCCATGTCTACTAATTGTTAATGTACCCAGCGAATGAAAAAAGGAACTCGAACTACACTTGATGCATTACGCAGCCTTGATATGCGCAGACATATGACAAAAAATCAGAGAGAAATTCGCGACCGGAAACATTTTTCGTAATTGTGACTAATGTTTTCCATTAAAGTTTGAAATAATATCCTCAATAAACGTCAATCATATGCACAAATACTATTTCTCACGACAACATGCACAGACGAAGTGTCATATCTCATTTCAAAAAGTATATGTTTTTGTCATTACTCTAGTAGAAAGTTGAAATCCATCCTCACCCGCACCCCCAAACTCTCCAATTAGTGATGTATAATACCTAGTTCAGGAAAAGGAGGGACAAGGGTGTGAGTGTGGATATTCGTGAATGAGAGAACAATTACCAACATCCCATTCTATCTAAAGAAAATATAACCACTGATTAAAAAAGTCATTTCATTTGAAAAGCAAAGACATCATGATCATTAATATTCCGGTAAAAATTTCAAATCATACAAAACACGACGTCAACCATAATAGAAATACAGGAAGCTTATAAAATTCATTTATTAAACAATATAACAATCATGGATTATTATTTACACACTCATACTTACTTTTCGCCCTTGTCAACATTAATGACTACGTTATATTTATCATATAAATATTATTGTATTCTATTGTAATTCGAATGTTTTTCAAAATTCTACCAATTATAATTCAATAGACATAGTATTTAACAAAATCCACATGATGACGTTCTGGGAAAACAGAAGCAACTGTTGTCGTGGAGTAGCTATTTCCTCCTACTCATGCCCGCTCATCCCCTGGATGATCGTCTTCAGATTTCTTTCTTAGAAAATGGAATCTTATTAGTCGCTAGTAGTTTTACTGATAGTCAGACTCGAAATAGTATTGAACATTAGGATCCATCTCTGACACAACACTGATGAACAACGAATTCCATATTGACGGTGCCATCCTATATTTTATCTGTGAAATCACAATACTCCTATTCTGATACAACGACTTGGAATCTTTCAATGAAAGTGAGAGTAATCATGGGTAGATATGTATGTGAATAGAAGCATACAAGACAATAGAAAAAAACGCTTGATTCGCTTGCGTCTAGTTGAAGAGAATAGTCTATCTAGTTTTCCATTGACTTATTATTTCTCTCGATATACGAAAGAACTATTTGTGACAGCGTATCGATCCCAAAACTGTGAACAGCGAAGATCATAGTAATCACTTCGCATTTTTGAAGTGATGTCAAGAACAAAGTCATCATCGGACGAGCTTGAATAAATATTCCAATTTGTCAGTTCACTACCATCGTTAGGATTTGATGTGTGGATGAAATTAGCCCAATAACGCATCATATTCGTCGATAATTGCTTCTCAAATTCAGTCAATCTGTAGCCAGGAAACAAAAATACTAGAAGATCTGGGAAGAGCATGACAAGTTCAACAGCATGGGCCACACCTAAACACGTAGCTGTCACAGGTATGAGATGATTGTACGTATAGAGGTAGGCGGACAACCCATAATCAGAAAATTTAGAAGCCAGACGTCTGGATCCGCAGTGTGCCCATGCGTCGGTGTAGGCGATGTTCAGATAGGTCAGCGGATTTTGATAAGCTGAAATCGGACCATAAATGGTAGTAATTTCATTGACAATAGTGGCATTGTAAATAATGTTGAAAAACGCTTGAACTTGTGCAACACTGGCCTTTTCTTTAAAATACGGACAGGTAAATGCAGATGTCTCATTAGTAGTAGAACCTACCAAGACGGGAACTCGTTGAAAATCTCCTCTGGCATAGTAATTTTCCATGATATCATTGAGAACGTAACCATCGATTACTGGATTGGCGGCTACTCCGAAGATATTTTTCGATGCAATGGTAGCTTGAACTTTGAGAATGTCCTGTGTCGCGAGATCACGCAAGCACTGCACCATCGTACAATTGGAATCGGCCCGCAAAACTTTACCCGTAGAATTGATGGCAGTTTCCATGTTGCTAACAGCATTTGGCCATATAGTACCACTCTCGATAATAGCTCTCTGGAAAGTACCACTAGTTACCAAGGGTGATGTGAGTAGAACGGTGACACTCACACCTCCAGCACTCTCACCACCAATAGTAATTTGGGTTGGATCACCATTGAAACCAGCAATGTTTTCTTTGATCCAGTCTAATGCCATGATCTGATCTAAGATGCCATAGTTACCAGTGGTACTTCTGTTTTTATTGCCTGATCTTTCGTCATATAATCCTTCATCAGCCAAGAAACCGAGTAGACCTAGTCGATAGTTGATTGTCACGACCACAACAGGAACAGCATTGATGACGCTTGTGCTAACCAACGGATTTGCACCATATAGAATACCTGCTCCCGTTGTAAAGCTACCTCCATGGATCCATACATACACAGGTAAATTACTTGCATTTGCAGGACTATACACATTCAAAGTGAGACAAGATTCTATCATCGGGAAAATATAGGTATTCGTTTGAGGACAAACGTTGGGAGAATATGCATACTTGGTACCATTGGACGTCTCAAGAGGCTGAGGAGGCTTCCATCTCAAATTACCGATCGGCTGCTGCGCATACGGTATGCCATACCAATAGTTGATATCCGTGCCGTTTACTGTTGTTTGAAGACCAACGTAAACGCCTTGCTGCGTTTGAGCGGTAGGCGAAGTATTGCTCGCTACAATGGCAGGAACATTATATGAAATGGACAAGAATACTAATGTAAGAGTTGCAGTGACGATCATGATGCTTCTGTGAAAGTACCTGCTTGTATATTAGTTACAGGTATTTTTACGTGCTCATCGGCGGCAATCCTATCAAAGGTGTTAAAGAATTGTAAAATGCTTTGTTTGGACTGTTTTGCGTTTGACTCGAGCGAAGACAAAAAGTTATTATCGACAGTATCTACACTATACGATATGCTTATCTTTCGTGTTATCTTCCTTTTTTTCTCTCATATGTCCCTCCACGAAATCGAATATAACTCAAGAGAGAAAAAAACGAAGACTGACCAGCTGGAGTATAAAGAAAAAAAACAAGCAGAATTTTGTTAACAATCTCATTGAATAATAAAAATCATGCTTCTATGTATGTGTTTATGACTGTAGCTCAAAAATCCTAAGTCTCATACATGAATAAGTTTCACTGTTAGTATCGGTGTGTGCAAGCTAGCAAGACGATCTTTTTCATCTTATTTAAGGATCCTAACAAGTCGGTATGGAGTCCGAGGTTTGACTGTGGATATGGATATGTACTCTATTCGTATTGGCTGAATCCCACCCACTCCCGACCCCATAAACCGTTTATCACACCATAACAGAGAGCACGTATGGTCGGAAATATAATTCTTAGTATAAATTCTTAGTCGCTAAAACATCTATAGTTCACATACTCTAGAAGTTCGTTTGATTAATTAAACTTTTTGTTGAGAACAGTACTAGTAATTAACAAAGCGTCTCTTTCACTTTGCTTTTGCAGATTTAAAGTGTCAATATCTCTTCGTTGTCGGTAAATTTAGGTTCGGACTATCCTGAACTCATACTAATTTGCTTAAAAACTATTTATACAAAGATTCTATGCATTAACTTTAAAGCAAACAATAAAGTTTACAAAATCCTGCTGAGTATGTCACTACAGTGGTTTAGTAGTAACTTTTGTTACAAATAAGTTTTCGACAAGCAGATTTCATAGCTATGAAACCAATTGTTTTGGCGAAAACTTCCTGTGAAACAATCTATTTCAGCGCACAAAAGTTCGTAGATATAGGATCTTCTTTTTATAACTGCAATGACAAGAGACTTTTTGAATAGATTCGTTACTGTAATTTTCTAAGTTTCTAAAGTTGGGATATTATACTCAACATTCAGACCGAAGTAACGTGTTTCATGGAAAATGGACTTCTGAAATATGACAACTAAGTTTCAATGGAATTCGTTTTATTTTTTTAAACTCATTTCATTTATCGCCTGAATATATATAAGTTTCACTTGAATGAGTGTTGATATTGGTCTGGCTGTCTAATACATACTACGCTCAAACCATTTTTAATTATTCGATTTTTATTCATTACAAATCATTCTTAAGAGAATTGAAATGAAAACTTTAGCACACATTCTTATTTAGAAATAGGGCAACATGCCTATTTCTCAAACATAAATAATTAATAATGAGTACTTCACAAATATTTTCATTGAATCGTTATCAAGTTTCATAATTTTTTCTTTGTTTAATTGAGGAACCTCATGACAGAGACAAAACAACTTGGGTGTGGGTGTGTTTTGGATTTAGATACAACAGCCACACCCACACCCACACCCGCGACGCATGAAATGTGACATGGTAAAATATAATCTTTGCATTAGTCGCATTCAAAAAATGAACAGTTTTCGGTTATTTACAGCCACTTAATAATCTGAAAGTACAAGGATGTCAAGTTGGAAATAAAGATTTACAGTATTTGACTGATATTTTCCAATATAATAAGGTAGTTGTTGTGTTTCTTTGTACTTAATATAGTTACGTTGTTTTTACAGGCAACTGTTATAATAAATTCCGACAACAATGAGATTGATGATAATGTAGTGAAACATTTCGCTTATGTTTTGAGAAATAATCCAGTGAGTATCGTATGAATCGGAGACTCTTCTATCTATGATATGTCTTGTAACAAGACACTCACTACATTGAGTCTTATTTCTAATCGAATTCGTGACGATGGAGTAAAACATCTCGTCAATACAATGCAAAACAATACAGTATGTTTTCCCATTACTCAGCTCTTGCTTTTAATACATCTTTCAATAGTAATAAAAAAAAACGTTCAAGATGAGTAAATATTTTCTGTGTGGGTATAAAATGATAGTTGAGCAACTTCTAATATTGACTATAAAACCTCAAATATTTCTAGTCGATCAATAACAAATTTTATTTATGTGTATGGTTGGTATGTTTTTACAGACACTTGCTGCACTTGATCTTGCAGAAAATCAAATTGAAGATAGAGGAGCCAAATATCTTGCAGATCTACTGCGAACTAATAAAGTATATTGCAATTTTGATGTTTTCAAAAACTAACTATGAATGAATTGCATATTTTAATTACCTTAGACATTTATCACCCTGAGTCTTCAGAAAATCGAATTGGTGACATTGGTGCACAACATTTTCGTGAAGCTTTGCCAATAAATAAGGTATAATATTGTACTAGGGGGAAATGTCTTCTGCATTTAATAATTCTTGCTAAGACACTTATGGAGGTCACTCTAAAAGACAATGAAAGTAGTTTATGTGCAACAGTTCAAATGGAACATGAGATAATGCATGAAAGTGTAAGATATAGTTTGTTTCGTCAATTATTTATTATTCTATATCATGATATGTTTTTAGATATGCATCACAGTGGATTGGACAGGTTATCAGATACGAAACGAAAAATTAGAATGCTTAAGTGCTGCATTGAAAAAAAATTATGTTAGTTGATGTCATATATTTCTTCTATAGTTCATTCGTATTTTTCAATAGATAACAACCAGATTGATCCTTGATGAGAATCAAATTGATGATAATGGCATACAACTTCTCGCTGATGGTTTATTAAAGAATAAAGTAAAAAAGAGACAACGGTATTTTTATGATTTATTCCATATTTTACATATAGATATTGCAAGAATTGAGTCTTCGAAATAATCGAATTGGTGATAAAGGAATGAAATATATCGCAAATGTTTTAAGAGAGAACATGGTAAAAAGTTATATTAATAGTAATTTTAACTTAGATAAGATGCTTTTTTTTGTTAAGACACTCAATACATTGAATCTCAGCAAGAGCTCAATTGGAAATGATGAAGTGAAACATCTTGCTGATGTCTTGAAGGATAACGTGGTGGCAGGGACGGCGGAAACGGGGGGGGGGGGTACCCCCCAC